GTTATTCAGATCAGAAAGCAGCTAAGACATCAAAACTTATTAATGGAGAAGGTTTGTTGCAATTCACAGCAGAGAAACAGCTGATGTCTTAGTATTGTGATACCTAAGTCAAAATGAAGTCCTGAGTCTGCATTTGATTCCACATAGGCTGCAGTCAGCATTGGATTTTAACCAGTCTCCCAAGCTAAAACTGACACAAAGCTTCTTTTACTTTTCATGTAGCATAGAGATCCCAAAATGCTGTCTTAAGACTAATCCAGATATGGCTCAGGTGATACAGGAGATAACACAGAAGTGAAAAGCTTCAGTCTGCTCAGTGCGTATTTCATTTAAGTCTAGGATGCCAAGCTGGGTTGTGGTATCGCCATTGTGATATTTTGACACCATTGTCAATACTGTACTTTCTGTTCTCATCTCTTGAATAATCCTATTTAATACTCAGGTACATCGGCAAACACTAAAATCCAATTTTCAGCTGGTCCCAATGATTTAACTCTTGCTGAGACAGAACAGAGAGTGTCATGTCAGTATTGTTCCAGCCTTTCTGGTGCTCCATGCTTTGTGTCTCCAGGACACAATCTCGCAAGCTGAACACCTGCATTGGTCTAGGTTTTCACCAGGTGGCCAGCCTCCCTCTTAAGTTGGCCTACATTGACATGCTTACTGCAATAATTTTCATCTTTCCTGCAGCACTTCAGCATGTGCCGTCTGTCAGTCTGTACTTCATGTCTCTTTCCATAGTTTATTTGACATCTCCTATTTTTTCCTCTGTCTTGATGTTTGATTAACAGTTTACATAACTGTACTGTGATGCTAATTGCATTATCTATGAGTAATCCAAGACAAGCAGAATGACATTTCATTTTCAGTGGTATAGTAACTGGGGGAGAGATTCTCTTTGTCTTCACAAATACTATATTGAGATGCAACATACATTGTAATACCTTACCATTGTAATCTGTGCAAGGATAGGCTGGAAAGTTTCTGACAGTTGGAAAACGATAATTGATTCCTACAATGTTGGAGTGCTTGGCAAGCCAGTGCAGGTATGTGCCAGGGACCTTGACTCCTACACTGTGGAAGGAAACAGAATGAGGCTGACACAGACTAGAGAGATAATGGTGATAACCTATAAGGAACTGGTAAGAGAGGAGTATGCTTTCAAGATTTGTAGGGATGGCTTTTGTTCCCAGATGTCCTTGGAGCTCAGTTAGGAGTCCAGAGTGCTGAGTTGAGGTTGGCTTTGGGTCACAGAGCAAGTGCAAATATGTGCCAGAGAATTCCTCAGAAAGCAATTCTTCCAGATGGCTTGTGGGAGATATCTAGGCTATGTTTTGACCTTATCTTTCAGGCTCTGTTGCTGCTCACCATGGCAATGGGAACATAAGTTGGGAAATGATGGTGGTATATAAACGCTGATACCTTTAATTCAATCGCATCACTGGGCAGATGGCTAAGAGTCTCTGAAGAACAGAGCTGTGGGTCTGAGAAGGGAGGCAGAACAGTCAGAAGTGTATGAGGAGACAGCCATATAGCAACACCTGCCTTAGGTCAGAGAGAAGGGCTAAGCTTCATACGATGAAGGATGTGTCTTTTCTGACGCTTGTGAGGTTTGCAATTCCCCCCCCACCACCACCCCCCCCTTGGCTATTAAGTTTCTGTGAACAAATAAAAGATACTATCTTTCTGATGTAGCTTGGCTGAGTCACTCGATTTCATAACAGTCACAAGTGCCCAGAAGGTTTGTTGTAGCTGGATTCAGACCCATTGGGACTTGCTGAGATAAATATACTTGGTGGAAAGAGGGGTGTTAAGAGCTTTGTAACCCAGCCTGCCTTTGGGAAGAGCAAAAGCTGACAGTCACTTACTGGTAAAGGCTGCACTTTGAAAATAGGAGGGTCACTTGAGTAAGCCCTGTTGTGCTCACTAAGGCTTTCTTGATGTTGTCTGCAGGTATGTACATCTTGGGTTTGTTGTGTCTTTTGTTTTTTGTTTGTTTGTTTTGGGGGGGGTTGTGTTTTTTTTTGTTGGTTTTTTTTTTTTTTTGTTTGTTTGGTTTTTTGCTTGATTCGGTTTGGTTTTGTCATTTTTTTGTCATTTTGGTTTGATTTTGTTTTTTTTTACATTTTTCCCAAACACATTTCAGAATCCAGGCAAGCTGTTATGGCTCCTTCCCTTCAGCAAAACAGCTTCAAACCATGTTAAGGATTTGTGGCATTTCATAGCTGTGAACCTACTTGCAGCCAATTTCTTCACATTGCAAGGTTATTTTAGCAGTGATGTCATTCTAAGTGGTTCCCACAAACACCCTCATCTTGTGTCTCCATTTGTTTACTCCTCAATTCTTCCTTCTAAACACATTTTTCTACCCCTTCAGCAAAGCAAATGGAGTTGTGTGTTCACTGCTATGCTTGGGTGTATCAGTGCTAATGGCCAGACTGGAGGAATACTTGAGGGCAGCAAAATCTACAATTTAACTGAGTCCCTTCTGTTTCCTAGAATGAAGTTTCAGATTGGAACATGTGGTTTGTGTTTTCACAAGTGTATGGCTTGTTTACATGCCAGCTGTATCCTGGGCTGCAGGATGAAAAAGAGCATGACCAGCAGGTCGAAGGAGGTGATCCTGCCCCTCTACCCTGCTCTTGTGAGACCTCACTTGGAGTATTGTGTGCAGTTCTGGTGTCCTCAACATAAAAAGGACATGGAACTGTTGGAACAAGTCCAGAGCAGGGCCACAAGGATGCTCAGGGGAGTGGAGCAGCTCCCATATGAAGACAGGCTGAGAAAGTTGGGGCTGTTCAGCCTGGAGAAGAGAAGGCTGCATGGAGACCTCATAGCAGCCTTGCAGTATCTGAAGGATGCTGAGAGGGAGTCTTCATCAGGGATTGGGGTGATAGGACAAGGGGTAACAGGTTCGAACTTAAACAGATGAAGTTCAGGTTGGAAGAAGTTCTTTACTCTGAGGGGATGTTAGGCACTGGAATAGGTTGCCCAAAGAAGTAGTAAATGCTCCATTCCTGGTGGTGTTCAAGGCCAGGTTGGACGAAGCCTTGGGCGACATGGTCTAGGGTGAGGTGTCCCTGCCCATGGCAGAGGGGTTGGAACTAGATGATCTTAAGGTCCTTCCGAACCTTAACTATTCTATGGTTTGAGTGTTCAACACCTGAAAATCAGAACCTGTAAACAGCCTGCCACGTCAGGAAATGCAGGCTGTGCTGCTTGTTTACTTTGAGTATAAATGTCATCTTGGCAGAAGTTACATCTCCCCTCTTGCATGCAGAAAGCTTGCAATTTGATTGCTGAGCTTAAATGGCATAGGCTTGGTCATGAATTTTAAGGTTTGTGTTTCTTTAATGACCTCGTGCAGGCACAAAGGAAGTTACTGTACTTGCTGTTTTCAAATGTTCTGTTAGAGTGTATGTATTGACCTAATCAGAGGGATATGACATTTTGAGATTAAACAGAGGAATTAAGGAGAGAAAAAAAAAGTTACTGTAATTGTCAATGAAGTTAGGGCATGGACTGGTTTAAATAATGGCTCCTGGCTGTGGCATCTTGTCAGATGGTCTACTTGCAACGTTCAGTAATAGTACACCTGTACTGATGTTTGGAACCAACACAGTACTATACAAAGAACCACTGCCTGAAAAGCAGTTAATACTGTTCTAAGCCTTGGAAAAAGCTTTTTTTTTCCCCTTTAAAATGAAGCTAAAACTTCTACAATAAATTGTTATGACATTAGTAATAATTTAATTCACCTAACTCATACATTGATACTGTCTGTATTGTATCTTCCAAGTGATCTGAGAAATAAGACAAATCCAAAGTGTCCTGATACCTGATTAGATTTATAGCATTCCAGAATAAATGGGAAAAGTTACTGAGAATGTACATGTTTACAGGAAAAAATGAAGGAAAGGGTAACTAAATGTATCCAGCTGTAAGGCTCTGAAAACATTTCTCATGTTGTGCAGGTTGTGCCTTTGAAATCTACCTAGGAGGCATAAGAACAGATGTGCGAAAAGGTTTGCTTTCCATCACTACAGCTGACTGTTGTTTTCATGAGAAAATTACTAATAAATTACTAATTGTAAATGCTTTCTCATTTAATTTATCAGGAGTTACTGATAAATCTGTGTGACTTCCTCATGTTAATCTGACAACTCTAAATAAGCTGTAGTGTCTGCGTTCTTGATGTTATGTTTCTTTGACAGTGATAGTGGGACAGCGGTGTTTTGTCTAGTATATTTCATCTATGACACAGGGAAGTATGTCTTGATAGTTACAGTAGAACTAATGCTACCCATTACAAATGCTCCTCTACGAGTATTGTGTTATCATTACCTTAACTCCTTGGGGATCTTCCCTTTTTCCAAAGGAAAACGTTTCCAGTGACCATCCCAGTAATATCCTTTTTGTGGGATGATTTATTTTTTTTTTTTTTAATGTGATGCGTTTCCATGACTCTCTTTAATGAAATGCAAATTTGAGCTCTACTTTCACAGTACACCATCTCCTTTTAGCAAGTCCTTTGTTTCAAGTAGCCTGAGAGGGCAGTGTTTCAGTTGTGGGCGAAACCTCATCTTGTCACATCATTGCTACACTGGTGGAAAAGGTGGTGTATCTTTTAGAAAGCCTTTTTGCTGTTCTCAGTGATGGATACAGTGTTTGTCAGGTGAGATTGATCAGGTGTTTGTAACACCAGGAAATGGACATGCTGGGGTCTTTAAAATCGCAAGCTTTTGATGCACGCAGCTTTTAAACTGAACAAATTGGGCTGTCTGTCATGGCTATGGTGGAAGCATTTTCTGGTCATTTTGTGACTTTTGTTTTGACAGCTTTGCAGACTCAAATGGATCAAGCCTGGTAACCAACCTGACTAATGAATATAGCCTGTGTTCTGTGGTGGTGTGTCAGAATGTGGATTTGGGGTGAGGGAGGACTGTGTTTTGCCAGTGCTTTGGAGTATGAGCAGTTGAACTTTGCTTTTATCTTTGCAGGCTGTAAAGTGTGCTGCAAATGGTCTATTGCATAAGCCTCTAGTGGAATGTGTTCTCAGGAAATGACTCTTAGCTTGAATTACTCTGGAAAAGGAGGCTGCCTAAAAGCAAGTCTTCCTACCCATTACAGTAAGCTGTCTCACTGTTATTTTTGCCTTTGGCTGGATATTAGGGACCCATATTACAGGGACCTCCATGCACAGTTCACCATCTGAGGAAGTTGCTTCTCAGCTGCTCCTCTTGTTTCCTTCCCTTTAGGCCACAAGTAATTTTTTCCTGTGCTAATGGATGTAGAAGAGCCAATCCTATAACAGCAACTCGGTGTTTTTGTCTGTAGCTGTGCTCCTTAAACCAGTTTCCCATTTACAGAGGAGAGTGTGCTTGGATGGAGGGGAGAGCTTCCACCCAGCAAAAGGTGCACACATCAAAATAGTGACACTAAAGGTGTGCACTTCTTAAAAGAAAGAAATGCAAACTGATGCTGTGAGATCCTGACCAAGGTATTTGTCTCGTGTCTGCTCCTCAAATTCCTTCTTTCTCCTCCTATGTGACAGATTCATGTGAAATTCCAGATCTAACAGCAGCTGAGGAATCTTCCTGTGTGGCTGCAATATGTGCACAGTATTTACTTTTACAGTCCTAATTTTGAGGGCTAAGAAGAGATTTTGGAGGAGTCCTAATATCAAGATATTTAGTATTTTAATATTCTTTTTCTTCTGGGCTAAAGCTATGGTTTGTACAATATTTACACTTTCTGAGCTGATTATCAGTGCTAATAAGTAGACCAGCCAGGCTAGTTCTGCTGGGGCCTCTAAAATGGCCTGTGAATCTATGATGGAGAATGAAGAAGCTATGGACCATGATCTGTATTTGCTGCCTTGCTGTCACAATAAATTCACTGATGGCCCAACTGGACTTGACTTCCACTCTGCAAAATGTTGAGCAGTAAGGACCATTGTTCTCAAGAGGTTTATCATGTGTAGATATGCAAAATGGGTAGAAAGGATACCTGAAGAGCATTCAAAGAGTGCTAGGAATCTGCATAGCTTTTGTCTGGAGCTGACCCCACTCCCTGAAAGCCTGCCAATTTTCAAGTAAAAGCAGTGAGACCCCAGACAGAGCAGTTGGTTCTGACATCATTAATAATGATGGCAATTTTTGCTACTCAAAGTTGGGACAAAATGCTTTATTTATATAACTATCTGTTTAAAACAAATTTTCACCATCTTTTCCTTTTATCCACAGATTACTTTTGCATCCATATGCCACATTTTGCTATTCTAACAGCTTCTCAAAGATTGCTATATTTAGGCCAGTAATAATGGATGTATGTATGACTCCTCAGCTAGAAAGCAGCTTGTTAACTCAGATTGGTGCATGTTTCTTCCATTTCAAGTCAAGTCTACATTTTGAGGTTGAATATCTGGGATAAAGCAGAAGCAGGTGTATAAAACCAAAGGGGAGGTCAAGAACATCTCGGTTTTGTTATATTCTTTCCCTTTTCTGTTCAGTCCATTTTGGGTGTGGTGTTCTTACTGGAGCGACGTACTATACTGGAGCCACATACAAGTGGCTGTAGTCAAATAAAATGAATAAACGACACTGAATCAGTCTTATATGAGCCAAGTCAGTGTGTCAAAGTCATCAGGAGTTCCTGGTATGTTACCTCTGTTCAGCTGTTGTCTTCTGCAGTAATGAATACACTGTAATGATGTAAAATAACTTTTACATCATTAGGCTTAGTGTGATGATGCTTATGCATAGCTCTTCGGGGGAACAGGTGGGCTTGGGAAGAATTTGCCCCAGCCATCCACAGGCATCTGACAGACTATGTGGCTGTTAGCCAGGTAAATTCCCTGGGCTCCCAGCAGAAACATGATTCTTGCTGCGTTTAGGTGGAGTCAGGGAGAAAATTCATAGAATCATAGAATAGTTAGAGTTGGAAAGGACCTTAAGATCATCTAGTTCCAACCCCCCTGCCATGGCCAGGGACACCTCACACTAAACCATGCCACCCAAGGCTTCATCCAACCTGGCCTGGAACACTGCCAAGGATGGAGCTTTCACAACCTCCCTGGGCAACCCATTCCAGTGCCTCACCACCCTAACAGGAAAAAATTTCTTCCTTATATCCAATCTAAACTACAATTCAGTGGTTAAACTACAATTCAGTAGTTAAGTGCAAGAGCCTAGCCTTAGGTAATGTGAGTCAATCTCCCAGAATGCATGTTGCTTACAGTGAGCAAGGGAGAGTTCTGTTTAGGATTGTATCCTTGTCCCAGGATCTGTAAGATAATTATGTTCTTTGAATTTTCCAGTTATTGTGATGTGTGAGATTGCAGAAACTTTATTAATATCTACTCATCAGCTGTGTGGTGCAGATTATTAACAATGAAAACAGTAGGACTAATAGTTCATAGAATCACAGAATGGTTTGGGTGGGAAGGGACCTTACAGATCATCTGGTTCTACCCCCCCTGCCATGGACAAGAGCACCTTCCACTAGACCAGGTTGCTCAAAGCCCCATCCAACCTGGCCTTGAACACTGCCAGGGATGGGGCAGCCGCAGCTTCTCTAGATTACTTGTTCCAGGGTCTCACCACCTTAACAGTGAAGAATGTTTTCCTAATGTCTAATCTGAATCTACTCTCCTTAAGCTTAAAGCCATTCCTTCTTGTTCTGTCACTACATGCCCTTGTAAAATGTCCCCCTCGGATTTCTTGTAGACCCCCTTTAGGTACAAGGTCTCCCCTGAGCCTTCTCTTCTCCATGCTGAACAAGCCTAACTCTCTCATCTTCTTTTAATAGGAGAGGTGCTCCAGCCCCATGATGGTCTTTGTGGCCCTTGTCTGGACTTGCTGCAACAGGACCACATCTTTCTTTTGTTGGGGCCCCAGAGCTGAGGACTTTGACTGTTTAAAACTTTAATCCAGAATGCATTGCACGGTTACAGTAAAAACTTCAGAGAATTCAATGGGACAATGTACACTTGTAGAAGGCCACAGAAAACAGCTGCATTTCCTTTTTAAGGGGCTAGAAAAGAGGCAGACTAAAGGACATTGGCTTGGGTGTGGGAATATTGTCCTCTAAGTTAAACTACCATGGGTTCTTTTTGAAAATGGTATGATTTTAATATTCTACAGGAAACTGTACTAGAAGGGAAAAGGAGAAATCTGTGAAGGCACAGCAGCAGTTTCTTCTTTTTATTTCATTAGCCTGCATAGCTGTGAGTGCACAGATTATAGCCAATCTTTGTTAAAATAAAAATTAATGTTATCATTTGCAGGTAAGTTTCCATATGAACAGAAACAAAGACTCAGAAGCACGAAGCTCCTCTCTTAAAAAAATCTCTTCCAATACTCTGGTAGTTTTGTGGTTTTTGGTTTGTTTTTTTTTTTTTTCTTATTTCCATTCCCATTTTTTGAAGCTGTTATAAATGCACTTAATTTCAGGAAGCTGTTGTCTTTAAGAAAATGAACTCTCTTTAGAAAAAAAAAGAAGTTTGGTTGAACTTTGATACATGAATACTTTGGTATGTGAATACTTTGATACTTTGATATGTGACTTGTTAGATCAAACCAAGGCAGATGACTTTGTGGCACAATGAGGAAAAAAGTGTGGAGATTCATATTGTGTATGTTTTTTAATCATTTTTCATGAAAAGTGCTTTGCTTCTGATTGAAGACTGAAGTCGTTGTTTTAAGAGGGAAGCTCCTTGAAACCCTTCAGGAAATGCTGACCTGCCTACTGAGTTTACTTATTCTGTGTAACAAAAGAGGGAAAGAAAAGACAACTTTTACTAACAAGGGAAACTGTCTTTACTAATGTCATCAATCAACTCTGTGTTAGACAATCAGGGTGGCTCTTCTATGAACTTGTAACATTTAATGCTTTCTAGCTGAACAGCTTTTATTTAAGAGCTATGCAATAACTGCAATTAAAATCTCCATGATAAACTAGTTTTAATCCCAGACACTAATAGAGTTCAATGAAGGAACTGAAATTTCTTGATGATCAATGTGAAATTATCTTTCTGGCTGTAAATTATCAGACTACTTGTTTAAATTGAAGTATTTGAGGATGAGAGAAACCACAGCAACTGTGAACAGGTGTCTCAAAAATGTGGCTTGGATTATTTAGTTAAAGGATATAAAAATGTGATGACATTTTTCATAAAATTAAAAGAGCTATTTGACCAGAAGTGATGTTTTATCTGGGCCTGTGTGTGCTCTAGTGTTTTCAAAGAAGCCCACAAACCAACATGAAATGAAAAGTTGAAGCACTGTGACTTGGTAAGTTAAAACAAAGTAGACATTCTCAACCAACTGAAATATTCTATTTAAAAATAAATCCATCTAAGTGTATCATGCAAAGCTAACATCTTCATTCTATGGAAATCAATTGTCTTAAGTAAAACGTCGTAGATAGCTGTGTTTTGTAAGACAGTTCCTTCGCTTGTCTTCAGGGTTTTTGTTTCAATTCCCTTTTGGAAAAATCATTTCATGGTCAAGTAGATAGGCTCTCTATATTTAATTTTTTGTACAGTCTTTCTTTCTTTTACCCCTCTGCCTGGACCTTTGCTGCAGAAGCTTTGCTGTGATTTATCTTTTCAAGTTCCCATAATAAAGAATTGACTAGTTTAATGGTGAAGGTGAAGTCAGTGAGATTCAAATATTATATAAGCCTCAAATAAGAAAATGAAAAAGATACTGAGGGTCTAGTGGAGGGCCACAAGGATGATCAGGGGTTTGGAGCATCTCTTTTATGAGGAGAGACTGTGGGAGCTGGGTCTGTTTAGCTTAGAGAAGACAAGACTGAAAGGGGATCTCATTAATGCATATAAATATGTCAAAGGTGGGTGCCAAGAGGATGGTGCCAGACTCTTTTTGGTGGTGCCCAGCAACAGGCCAAGGAGCAGTGGCCATAAATTAAAACACAAGAAGTTTCACCTCAACATGAGAATGAACTTCTTTACATAGAGTGTGGTAGAGCGCTAGAACAGGCTGTCCAGGGAGGTCGTGGAGTCGCCCTCTCTGGAGATATTCAAAACCTGACTGGGCATATTCCTGTGTAACCTGCTAGGGGATTGGAGCAGATGAGCAGATGATTGCCAGAGGTCCCTTCCAACCCCAATGAGTCTGTGGTTCTCTGATCACAGTATCACAGTATCACAGTATGCTAGAGATTGGAAGGGACCTCGAAAGATCATCTAGTCCAATCCCCCTGCCAGAGCAGGAACACCTAGATAATGTTACACAGGAATGTGTCCAGGCGGGTTTTGAATGTCTCCAGGGAAGGAGACTCCACAACCTCCCTGGGCAGCCTGTTCCAGTGTTCCGTCACCCTCACCGAGAAGAAGTTTCTTCTCAAGTTTAAGTGGAACCTCTTGTGTTCCAGTTTGTACCCATTACCCCTTGTCCTATCGTTGTTTGCCACTGAGTAGAGCCTGGCTCCATCCTCGTGACACTCCCCCTTTATATATTTATAGACACTTATAAGGTCACCCCTCAGTCTCCTCTTCTCTAAACTATAGAGACCCAGCTCCCTCAGTCTTTCCTCATAAGGGAGATGCTCCACTCCCTTAATCATCTTCATTGCCCTGCGCTGGACTCTCTCCAGCAGCTCCCTGTCCTTCTTGAACTGAGGGGCCCAGAACTGGACACAATATTCCAGATGCGGTCTCATTTGATATTTGGAAACTTTCTCTTAAAAGAGAAAAAATATTTAACTGAAATAGGTAAAAAGCTTGGGCTTTTCAAAGAATTGCTAGGAGAATCTTTCCTGATATATCAAGGAAATGATAGATCTTTGACCAAAACCACATACCAAAACAGTAGTGATGAACTAAATGGGACTCTGTGGCACTTGTTGATTCACAGTAAGCGCTAACCTGGAGGAGGAAGGAAATGGGGGCTGAGTCACAGGACTGGTCTCTTCCTGTCCATCAGTACTGACCAGACTGATAGGGAGATGCAGATCAGCAGAGCTTGGGGGTTAACAGGTGAGCTATAAGAACTGTTAATGCTGCATGTTTTAGAGCTATGTGTGGAGCTTGGGTACCTGTCTCAGTACTCAACCAGGTTGCAGTAATTTTCTGGCTTCTTGATTATTAGTTTGCAGTCTGAAACCTGATTTTCTTTTGTAGTGTAAACCATAGCTGAACAGTGATCTTGGTCAGCAGTACTAGTCCCTATCCTGCTAAGTCTTGCTCAGCCTCAATAACACATCAAAACCTTTATACCTGGTATACCAAGTTGTTTTTCTCTTGTCCTCTTTGCTCTTGATTATTTTATTTGAAGGACTGTCTTGATACCACACTACCCAGCAAATTTCCTTTTAAGTACAGAGAGCACAAAATTTAGGGCTCTGCATTACCATGAGAGAATAACATTGGGCTTGTGCAAGTCAGACGTCTCTCCTCCATTCACACATGCTGGACTCAGAAGGAAGGAAACCTCCTCTGCTGTCAGCAATGCTGGAGTTAATGAAGCTCAAGTTCACTATCCAGCTTGGTGGCAGGGGATTCTAGCTGTAGCAGGGGATTTCTGGCAAGGAGAGGAGAAGGGAATCTCCAGGTTAGACTGGAGATCATGACAGGACATGCATCTCTTACATTGCCTTCTGGAGGATAAACAGTGTTGGAAACTTCCAGGAAAGTCCAGTAAAGGCTTTTGGAAGTGTACTATAGTACCTCCGACTAACAATTGTGCTGTGGAAGTTCAGGTTTATACACCTACAAGTCAGTGTGTTTAGCAGAGAGGGGTAGCGCATTGTGGTTGTAAGGTGGAAATCTGAGTGTCTAATACAAAAAATAACATTCCTAATAAAGACTCCTATAATTGCAGGTTATTGATCTGTGGAAAACTGCCAAGTCTTCACACATAACATTGTTCTGGGGGAGAGAAAGCACTTCTGCTAGTGTTGTTGCAGTTACTTAAAGTAATAATTCTTATGTATAATAAACAGTGATGCTATCAGTGTGTGGAGATAATTTTAGATATTTTATTGATTCTTTTCAGGTGTGGTTAGAACTTAACTAATGTTAAACTTCTGTGCAGTTTTTTGTTACATGTAAGGGGATGGTCTAATGTGAGTACACTAAGACCTCAGAATATAGGGCTGAAGTGTCAGGTGGTACTCTTACGGAAAGTTACTCCTCTTGATAGGAGGGAACCAATTAAATTAGCCACACTATGATCCAAATTGCCAACGAAGGGAAAAGTTAAAACTTCTGCATTGTTTTTTTTAACTTCCAGACTGTCCTGGGTTCAGCAGTAGCAGTCATGTTTCTCCTTCTTGGTAGCTGGTGCAGTGCAGTGTTTTGACTTTCGGCCTGGGAACAGAGCTGATAGTGATGTTTTGGTTTGGCCAAGGACTTTGTGGGCCTCATGCTCTGCCAGGGAGGAAGGGAAGCCAGGAGGAAGCAGAGACAGGACACCTGACCCAAGCTAGCCAAAGAGCTATTCCGTACCACAGCACGTCATGCCCAGGATGTAACTGGGAGTTACCCGGAAGGGCTGGTAGACTGCAGGGTTGGAGGAGGTATCGGTCAGAGCTTGGTTGGGCTGGGGGGGGTGAGTTATCGGTTGGCTGGTGGTGAGATGTTGTATTCTCTTCCCTTGTTATTTCCTTTATCATTGTTATTATTGGTAGTAGCAGTAGTGATCTGTGTTATACCTTAGTTACTAAACTGTTCTTATCTCAACCCGTGGGAGTTGCATTCTTTTTGATTCTCCTCTCCGTCCCTCTGGGAGTAGGGGGAGGGAAAGAAGGGGGGAGTGAGTGAACAAGTTACCTAACTGGGTTTAAACCACAACACAGACTGAGAAGCATATAGCAGTATCTTAAATGTAAAGCCAGCCACTTCTCAGCTCCCTCGCAAGAAGAAAACATAGTATTTCCAGGAACATTAAGGCTTTTGAACATTTCTTATTCTGCTTAAGACTGCTTCTAATAGTTGTAACCTTTCTGCAAGATTATCAGATTGTAATTGTCAGTTATAGAGGAGGATGGTGCAACTGCCTTCTGTGGGTGGGTTAGAGACTGAGACTCACTTTGAGAGTATGCATGGAAATATGAGTAGAATCTGCTGAAGATTACTCTGGAACTGAAGATTAGGAAATGAATATTTTTGCAGTAAGTTGTCTACTGTCTTCAAGTACTGGCAGTTAGCATTTTGATTCTGGATGCTATTTCTTAACAATCCTTTACTCCTGTTTCAAGTGCTCTATCATTTGCAAACAAGATATTAGGATTTTAAGTGGTTTGTTTGGGATGTGTGAGTGTCAGCCCAAGAGGGAATGCAGTACAGAGAGGCTATGAAGGTGCACAGAGTTTATCAGACAGGTTCTTGCCTTTATTTCTGCCTTTTGTTTAATTCAGATGAACTAGGCTGAGGAGTAGTTGATAAATCATAATTTGGCTTGAAGGAGAAATAATTTCTTTTTGCATTCCCTCCCCATGCACCTTAAACACTTGTGTAAGACTCGATTTTCATCCTTGTCCCATTTTGCTCAGTGGCTTGAATTTTTATCAAGGGGTTTAGGGGGCAAAATCTTGTCCCTAACTTTTAAAGCAGACTGATTTGTCTGCAGTGGTATGTGCAGTACTCGTAATTAAAAAGTTCAAGGCAAATGCCAAGTGGTTGCAGATTGTCTTTCTTTGTGTGTGTGTACACTTAAAGTCCAGGTGAAACATCTGTTTCCCCCTCCCTGCAGCTCATTCTGAAGACTAATATGATTCTAATGAAATCTCACTGTGACATGTGCTGCTGTTCAGTGAAGATATTTCAAACACCTACTAGAAAACTAATTGCAGCTTCTGCCATTCACTGCCTCTATAAAAAAAAAAGAAGGGGGGGGGGGAGAGAAGAAAAAAAAAAGTTTTTTGAGCTAAAATGGTACTTACCAGTCTGAGTTAAACCTGCAATAGGAAGCTGTAGCAGAAAGCATGTAATTATTTGGCATTGCCCATTCCATGTGTGTTGGGAGATTGCTGCCTCTGCAAATATAACTGTTCTTTTGCCAGCCGTTTGTGACTTCAACATGAAGAGCGAGGGGAGTATGAAGCTCAAATTCTCAGTTTTGGTTTTGGGAGTCAAAAATTCATACTTAATATACATTGTCTTTTCTGTTAAGGGATAAGTTTCCTTTATCTCTACAGCCCATTAAAAATCCAGATGCTGGTAACATCTGTGGCGGGTGCATACCAACCAACTTTGTTAAGTTCTGCCACTCCTTATGGTGCAGCACACTCCACTGTGTGGAGCCATTCACAGAGTGCTTACGCTGGTGACAGAACCCGTTTCTGTGTTCAGCTCATTTTTGGGCTCAGGCACTTGAAATGAAAAGCCCCTGTGTGCTAGGCTGACCTCTGGCTGTGCTAACAGGTTGAGCTGAGGTTGAAGATGTTTTTGCAAACAGATACTTTTTTATAATTAATGTCCTTTTCCTTGTCTCTCAGACTAACCACTGGGTAGTCGTTAAAGCTTCTCTTTGCAAATAGACTAATACTATTTGATGCAGTTGACTGCTGTGAAATACAGAGGTGTTTTTGTCAGTTCCTGGAAAAAAAACTGACATTTCAGTTTGCCTCCTCTTGATCTCAGGCTCTCTCAGATGGTGTGAAACTGTGTAGGTCTGGTGAAATCAACAGAACGGTTGTTAGGAGGAGTTACCATCCCTAGCTTTCTGGCACTGTCTATCCAGTTAAGATGCTTTAGCTGTGACCACCTTCAGTGTTGACTTAAAGTAATCTGCTTTTTTTGGCACTGACATGGATTGGGACTGCTTTCACAAGCATGCCTATGAGATAGGATGTACAGTAACAACTGTATAGTTAAATATCAGTCAGTGCCTCTAAGACAGTGCCACTGAAGCCACCAGTACGATTTAGTAAGACAGATATAGCAAAAAAAAAAAAAAAGAGAGTACGTAATAAGTGCTTGTTGTCAAGATGCCTCCAGTCATGATGTCAAAATCCCTTTGAAGAGGGCAGCAATCCTCATAGCCTGAATTTCTTGTTATGAGAATGGTGGCTCAGTTATTTTACTGTTCTGAAGAATTTTTAAATATGCATCTTTGATGGCTGAGATTATAAACCAGAAAACTAGATAGTCAGTCTCACCTCTGTGCCTGGCAAAATCTTGGAGCAGATTCTCCTGGAAGGCATGCTAAGGCACATGAAAATCAACAAGGTGCTTGGTGACAGCCAGCGTGGCTTCACCAAGGGGAAATCCTGCCTGACCAATTTGGTGGCCTTCTATGATGGGGCTACAGAACTGATGGACAGGGGTAGAGCAGTTGATGTCATCTACCTGGACTTGTGTAAAGCATTGGACACTGTCCCACACGACATCCTTGTCTCTAAATTGGAGAGACATCAATTGGACCACTCGGTGGATAAAGAACTGGCTGGATGGCTGCACACAAAGAGTTGTGGTCAATGGCTCAATGTCCGGCTGGAGACCAGTAACAAGTGGTGTCCTTCAGGGATCGGTGTTGGGGCCGGTCTTGTTTAACATCTTTGTGGGTGACATGGGCACTAGGATTGAGTGCGCCCTCAGCAAGTTTGCCGATGACACCAAGCTGTGTGATTCGGTTGATACCCTGGAGGGAAGGGATGCCATCCAGAGGGACCTCGACACACTTGTGATGTGAGCTGATGCCAACCTCATGAGGTTTAACCATGAGAAGTGCAAGGTCCTACACCTGGGTCGGAGCAATCCCAGGCACAGCTACAGGTTGGGCAGAGAAGAGATTCAGAGCAGCCCTGTGGAGAAGGACTTGGAGGTGTTGGTTGATGAGAAAATGAACATGAGCTGGCAGTGTGCGCTTGCAGCCCAGAAAGCCAACCGTATCCTGGGCTGCATCAAAAGGAACGTGACCAGCAGGTCGAAGGAGGTGATCCTGCCCCTCTACCCTGCTTTCGTGAGACCTCACCTGGAGTATTGTGTGCAGTTCTGGTGTCCTCAACATAAAAAGGACATGGAACTGTTGGAACAAGTCCAGAGGAGGGCCACGAGGATGCTCAGGGGAGTGGAGCAGCTCCCATATGAAGACAGGCTGAGAAAGTTGGGGCTGTTCATCCTGGAGAAGAGAAGGCTGTGTGGAGACCTCATAGCAGCCTTCCAGTATCTGAAGGGGGCCTATAGGGATGCTGGGGAGGGACTCTTCATTAGGGACTGTAGTGATAGGACAAGGGGTAACGGGTTAAAACTTAAACAGGGGAAGTTTAGGTTGGATATAAGAAGGAAATTCTTTCCTGTTAGGGTGGTGAGGCACTGGAATAGGTTGCCCAGGGAGGTTGTGAATGCTCCATCCCTGGCAGTGCTCAAGACCAGGTTGGATGAGGCCTTGGGTGATATGATTTAGTATAAGGTGTCCCTGCCCATGGCAGGGGGGTTGGAACTAGATGATCTTAAGGTCCTTTCCAACCCTAACTATTCTATGATTCTATAGGAAAGAGAGTTCTCTGAAGAGAGACCTAGTATGTTTTAGTGAAGATGGCTATATATGCACACATATATTTTAGGGTCAACATTTGAAGAGCTCTTTACCCAAAACTCGAATCTGTTGCTGCTTGTAGAAATGAAGTTGCATGTTTATCTAAGCCATTGAGATGTAATTTCAGTTTATGCCATGTTAGCACAACTAATCCTTTCAGTGATGTTCAGCTTCTGCCAATTCTGTCAATGGACTAATTGTGTGAAGTGAAGCATACAAGCACAGCAGTGTTTTATGTACTACATCTTACCACTTCCTGACCCTGTCTCACTGCACACTACCTTCTTGCAGTCTTCTAGCCAGATCTGTTGTAGAGTTAGAAATGCCCAGATTAATTTTCCCTGCTTTGACAAGCTCCTTTACATTGCAGGAGGCCAGCTTTTATAGTGCAACCATAGGAAGCGTCTCCACTACAGCCTTTCACCACACAGGAGGCAGACTGAAGATGTAGGCAGCTGGTAAATGTGAAAGCAATGAAAAGGTGTTCTGAGGTTGACGGTGCTTTCCACAGTACAAGTATTTTCTGGGAAGGGCATAAGAAGGGAGATAAACAGATGATCGTGGAAAGCTGAGAAGTAGCTGTAGCAGACCAAGATGTTCCAAAGAGAAGATCACAGCAAAAAGGTAAGGGCACCAACTTCATCCTGTCCTTTTTCCTGCTGCTTGAATATTTTCTTCAACATCAACAATTCTTCATTTCACATTTTCTGGAGAATCCTCTAAATACTATAATAGCCATTCAGCATTACAGCATTGAGAAAAATACAGTAGTATTTTCATAGCTCACTTTAGCCTCCTCAATTCTTACTCTAGAAGTGCATTTTTTTTTCCTAGAAGCTCTTCAGACTGATAAAATATTGATAACAGTTCAAAGATAAATACGACTGCATAGCTGCTATATATAGAGCAATAGTCAATCAAGGCGTGGGGAGGAAATCCTGTAGCAGTTCGTAGAACATCCTACAGAAGACTTTGACTTAAGATTATAACTCTGATATTCTCATCTTAGACAACCTGTTTTTACTTAAGGACCTGATGGCAACGGTGTATGACTAAAAGGACTGTGAATCTCAAGTGTCATAGTGTCATACATGCATGCAAGGGGAGAGCAGCAGGGTTGCTCAATTAATTTGATTGTGTTTGAGTCTAACATTGTAGCATCAGTGTTATCTAGGACATTACTCAGCCTTGGCCTAAATCTACTATCAGCTGAGTAAATGATGAAGCTCCTTGCATCAGCATGGATTTTGGCCAAAAAATAGGGATTTTGAAAATCCCACTGGTAGTATTCTCAGTGCAATTTTTGATGTAGCTTACAGCTGGATCAATATTTGTGTTCAGTCATCTAATTTTTCTGTCCTGCTTCTAAGTATACATGAGGAAATCTTACTAAAATTTATAACGTTCCCAGTTTTAACTTCTCTTACTTAAAAATATACCTAAGCCAGCTTCCCAAAACCTTTTCTGTGGTCTTCACTCCTGAGCAGAGAGCATATGTGAAAAACACAGTAGTACTGAACATTGCTGCAAGACTTTTTATAATGTTAAGAGAAACAGAAGAGAGCCTTAAAATGATAACACAGTGTGCAATGCTGTCAGCCTTAGCTGGAAACAAAGCTTCCCCTGATTTTGAGTAAGACTTGGCCTGAATGCTCCTAAAAAATCCTCTCTCTCCTTCTTTAGTTTTAATGGGAGCATCTGGTAGGATATGTCAAACAGTACTAGTTGCAGTGATTGGCCTCGATAATAGTCTCTAGTCTCTTGGTTATCAAATTTCTGCTCCAGGCCAGGCTTCATATGTTCAAATAGAACCACATTTGCCACCTGGTGTTTTGGAAAAACATGCCTGAAAGCTGAAATCTATGCGGTAGCTGTGGCACTCAAAATCTGAGTGCTTTAAGAGGCAGAACACTTCATCATTGCTCAGATGAATTTAGCACCTTAACATCTCCCCAAAAAGTAATAGATGATGACTTCCTAAAATTTCTAAATCATGACAGATGTTGAGGCCTGGACCAGTTTTTCATTGGCGATGGATGAAGTCATGTTATTAAAATTAAATTCATGCATACAGGATTTCCCATGTAAGGGTCCACAAGCACTTCACAGCTCTCTCAAAGAGAGAGCTCTCTCTCTTCTCAAAGCAGTTGAGAAATGAGGTAAATTCTTAGAACATTCTTAATGGTTTGGACTGGATGACCAAATTCAGATTAATTCAGTGCCTAAATGACTGTCCTTGTCATTTGTCTTTCAGGTCCTCAGGCTCCAGCAGCAACCAGCTGAACAGATTGCAGCAGTGAAGGTGCTGCCATGAGGATCGGGAGGTGTCCTGTCTGCTTCAGAGCTTGTCTTTTGGTCCTGTTGGGTAAACAGCAGAGAGAGCCCAATATAGAGGCAGAGCAAATGTTTTAAGAGAGCTGACAAGCCAGCTCCTGTACATACATGTATCTGTGTAAGAATACTCCAAGTCCAGGGGCCTCTGTGACACTGCGTGGATGTAAGAACTGTTGCATGTGTGGGGTTAGACTGCTTTTTGAGTGATGATTCTCCGCCGAAGATTTGTTCTATTTCTCCCCCGATTTGTAGGCCTGCTGATGGTGGCCTGTTGCTTGGTGACAATTGTTTATATGTTGGCTTGCACACCCAAGGGTGACAATCAGCAGCTTTCCTTGCCCAGGGTGCACAGTCCGACTATGAAGGAGGGATATGAAGCCATTCTGCAAGAGCGAGAAGAGTATCACCTCAACTACATCATCAGTTTGAAGAAACAAATTGCCCAGCTGAAGGCTGAGCTCCAGGGCAGGAGTGAGCAGTTTAAGAACATGCAGGACCAGCACCCAGACCCTTTGGGCATTCGACTTGACCACAGCAACCCGGAGAAGGCCCAGGCTAATCTGCTGGCTTTCCTCCGTTCCCAAATAGACAAAGCTGAGGTGCACAGCGGCATTAAGCTGTCCACAGAGTATGCGGTTGTGCCCTTTGAGACCTTTACTCTTCAGAAGGTGTACCAGCTGGAGACAGGGCTGACGCGCCACCCAGAAGAGAAACCTGTAAGGAAGGATAAGCGAAATGAGTTGATAGAGGTGATAGAGTTAGCTGTTGGGAGTTTGAACAATCCAGAGGGGAATGGCAATGCAAAACACCGTGTGTACACAGCCTCTGACTTCATTGAAGGTTTGTATGCAGACAGGAGGTTAGAAGGGTCTACACAGTGCTGGTGAGGGGTTCTGGTGTGACTGCTTTGCTGAGGGAGATGGGTGTTATCTCAGAGCACAGATGCCTGGGATGATGTTAATGTTGCGACCCAGTGATGCTGTCTCAGGTACAACTGCAGAATGGCAGCTTTGCTGGGGAATTGGACTTTGTGACAACAGTGCCTGCCAGTCTCTTGTAGTGACCACTAATGTGTGCTCACAGCTCTCTAGTCAAGCACTTGCTTCAGAACTGACAAAACAAGGGGTGAATGACCAGGCTGCAATCCCAGACCTATTGTCACTGTTAAGACTGATAACTGCAGTCCAAATCCAAACTCCAATGTTACACTTATTTCCACCTACACAGCTCTGCTAGAGTCAGAGTGGCAAGATAGGTTTTGAGGACAGCAGCTGAGGAGCTCAGTAAGTCAGCTGGTATCACCTGTAACTTCAAATGACTATGAAAGCCTAACCTTTGCAGGGTATCTCCTATATGAGGAGTGGTGCAACTCAGCCCTTGGATTCTAAAATGGATCTAAACAGTTTTTACTCTAATATATAATATTGAGGCAGTAAGTGTGGATTTTTAAAGTGCCATTTTTTTAAAGTGCCATTTTTTACAGTGACTGGTCTTCATTTATTCTGTCACTAAATCCAAAGTGCTTACTTGGTTCCAGTCAGGCTGCTTTTTCGCAGCCAGGCAGAGACACCAGGTGTATTTCAGGAGTACTTCAGATGTATTTCAGGAGCTGTGATGTCTCTGTTGTTGATACAGACAGTTTTCAGCGTGTAAAGACCTTGTTGAGGTAGGTCCTGGCTCCTCGCTGGTGCAGGTACTTTCTCTGCACCAGTCAAATTCCTCTGGCTCAGACATGGGACTAGGGCATGGCAGGGAACTGGGAAGTGCTTCTGGCTGCCAGCATCTGAATGCATTATGGAGCTATGTGCTTCTGGTCTCCTCTTTTCTGTTTGTTGTTTGTTTTATAATTTCAAAATATGTTTCTACTGTTTATTATAGGAGCTGAATAAGCATCTATGCTTGGCACCAGCTCTTTCACCGGGAGAGGCGAGGGGAAAGGAGATGTTTCCTGCCATACGTTGCTTAATATTCCAATAAAGTTACCATTTTGCTTAGAGCCTACCTTTATGCACAATCAGAGGGCTTTGTCTGGGTACCAGTGCTGTTCCTGAGGAGCAAAGCAGAATGTGGTGTGCAGAAAGGCATGGGAAAGGATGCGCGCTGCAGTGCTGGCTCTGTGGAGATTCCTTATGCACTAACGGCCTTGCAGGCTTTCTCACTCATGATGAAATACTCCAGAGGGAGAAAGCCTTGCATGCATCTCAGAGCTTAAGAAACTGGAGCCTTGCATGCAGCTCAGCCTGAGCTCAAGAAACTTTCCTTGTGTCCTCCCCCACAGGACAAGCCCTAGCTTCTTGTAGGTGCAAGGAACAAATTCTCATTCTTAGTAGTGCAAACAGATTTGTTTGCAAATGCAGGGATGGAGCTGTGCTGACTTGGCAGAAAATATCTCTGCAAAGTTCCCTTGAAAATCTCTGTTATCTCTTGGCAGTCCCCCTTCCCCCAGCCTCCATTCTTCAAGAATGATAAAAACTGCTGATCATAGCACAAACAAATGTATTTCTTTGTGTAACTTGAACAGGAGAAGAGAGTTTTCTATTCCTATTCTGCATTTCAAGTATGGTTTGGACTCAGAATTTGTTTTGGAGACAGTGCTCTGCAGGTGCCACTGCCTACATAACAAGTTAGTAACAGGCTGGATTCCACGGCAGCTTTTGGCAGCTTTATACGAATTCAGCAATACAGCATCCGTGAGCAGAATTATCCAGCCACCAAAGCCAGCTGTTTTCACTTCTGGAACTGGCCAGGATAGCTGGAATTTTCTGGGAGATGTGGCCCAGGTCTGCACTGAAAGTAGTGCCACTTAACCCTGTAAGCTTTTTACCTTCCACCTGCTCTAGCAATAGCGCACAAAAGGTGTATGCATCTCACATGTTAAAGGTAGGTCTGATGCCCTTGTCTTAAGGTTGAGCAGGTGAAGGGATGTGCTGAAATGAAGATCAGGTAATCAGGGTCAGAGACAGGATCCACAACCTGAAGTGCTGCTCTTGATACATTAGACTTGCGTCTTTGTTTCTGAATATTCAGTGAAGCCTTTGACACTGGCTTTACTCAAGTGTGCTGCTGATCTCACTAGCTAGTCTTACTAGTATATAGAGTGCTGCAAGTTAATTTCGCGTTCTTGGGCCTCTTGTCTGTTCTTTTCCTATTCTTGTGAGTCACATCTGGTACCTGCTAGCACTTTTTCTATACTAGCTCATTGTTAACATATGTCAATAGGCAGAGTGGTAGTTTGGTGCAGTAAATTTGATTAGGGTCTGTTTCTCTTCCTCTTTTCCATTCCATCACTTTAGTCTTGTCTTTGCAGAGGGAAAACATTTCTCCAAACACTTCTTACATTTAAGGATAAATATTTTGTCTCTGTGGCTGGGATCTCTTAAAATAAGTGTTGCATCCTCTGCAGTTTCTAGACAGAACCACTTATGCGTGGGAATTAGATTGTGACCCTAGTACCTTACATCTGAGCTAAACTCCTTCTCAGCAGATTTGCTGTTACATGAAATTTGGGTAGGATTCTCAGACAGTTCTCTTTCCAGGACTAATAGCTGACACATGGTGGAATTTTCCATTTTTCCTTACTTAAACCAAGAGAGCCACACCTTCTCCCTTGGGCCTGAAATGTATCCATCTGGCTGCTGGTCTGCTTCTCTCTTCACAGAGGCACTTGGGCTATTCAGCTGCTATAATCCTCTCCTCCTTATTCCTCCCACTTCTATACCAAGCTCACTCACTTTCTGCTACAAGGAGCTGGTAAGAAACAACATGGAAAAGATAAGAATTTTCTGGGTATTCTAAGCAGGCAAAAGACTGCTCTGTTTCCAATAGAAAGCCAGTTGCTCAATGGGCAGAACTGCAGGTCTGATCATTAATTTATGTAATGGCAGCAGACCTGAATAGATTTGCAAGTCATTCATTTTCTCAAGGATGGAGTTAATAATTTAGAGATTCTAACAAGCCTGAGTGGTGCATTCCATACGTGAATGTAATCACTGTCTGGTGATGTTCTCTCCCAATAGGAACACTTCCAGAAAATCCCTGGATCACTTCAGAAATGCCCTGCCACAGCACTGTCAAATATGCTGTATAAGTTTTCCTGCCTAAAGTATGTGACTCTCTCGTGACTGGATGTCCTGGTTTCAGCTGTAACAGTTATTTTTCTCCTTCCTAGTAGCTGGTGCAGTGCTGTGTTTCAGCTTTAGTCTGAGAACAATGCTGGTAACACACCGATGTTTTAGTTGTTGCTCAGTAATGCTTACTCTGATCAAGGACTTTTCAGTCTCTCATGCTTTGCCAGTGAGGAGGCCAGGAGGAAGCAGAGACATGACATCTGACCCAGACTAACCATATCACAGCATGTCACGCCCAGTATATAAATTGGGGGGAGTCACCCACAAGGCCCAGATCACTGCTCAGGTCAGGCTGAGTCAGTGGGTGGCTAACAACTGTATTGTGCATCACTTGTGTTTATTGTTGGTTTTCCTTTTCCCTTTTAGTTTTGTATTCTCTCCCCTTGTTACTTCCATCATCATTATTATTATTATTACTACTACTAGTATATTATACTTTAGTTATTAAACTGTTCTTATCCCAAGCCGTGGGGTTTCAATTCTTTCTATTCTCCTCCCCATTCTGCTGCAGTGGGAGGTAGTGAATGGCTGCATGGTGCTGGGACTGGCTGGGCTTAAACCACAACCCTGGAGTTTTAAATATGGTCTCAGAGGTGAATGTAAAAGAGTAGCTTTGCTTCCTCAAGATGACAGCTACTGGTGGTGGGCTGCCTGATACAATTTTGCCCTGGAAGCTTACTGAAAGGATAATGCTCTTCCTCAAAGGATAAGATGATGTATTTTACTGTACATGAAGCAGAAAGACCACCATCATATTGAGTTAAAATGGGGACAGTGAATACTGATAAATTGTAATAGCGGTTCCAAAAATATTTAATAGAATATAAGTAATGAGCTCTGGTCCAAGGAGCATTTCTGTTTACAGTGGAAGACCTGAAACCTATGGTCTGTGGAACTGAGGCTAAAATTGTCATGCACTCAACAGGACTTTGTTAAGGTTGCATGTCTCTTTGCCATGTATATTCTGAATCTTGCTTGCCTGCCCTGCTGAATAGAGATCAGGTATTTTCCATTTCTTTAGAGAGTCCTGGGAGTTGCTGTTCTGAAGACTGCACACTTACCGCTCTTTAGTCAACCCTTCAGGCCACCCAGGTCTTTCTTTGCTTCTCCGTTTCATTCTAGGGCCAGTCTCTCTGCTGGCTCAAAGCTCCTGTTCCTATTTTTACATTGCATTTCCAAAGACTTTGACTTTTCTCCCTGCTTCTGAAAGGAATGGTGCATAATCTGAAACATACTGCTGTAATGGAAGCAATAGATGCTCAACTGACCTTCTTTTATCCATAGTGAACATCTGGCCTTTCCAAGGCTTTTGTTCCAGGAGCAACCTTTTCAGGAAAAGGTTTTTGTTTTACTTTTTTGAGATTACTTTCTTCCTCTCCTTGTGCGACACCTCTTAGAACTGAGACTGCTTGACGCATGTTTCTGAATCATGTTAAAGGTCTTGATGGCAGAAATGAAGTAGTGCTTTCGGAAATGGAAGAATCTTGTGAAAAGCAGGATGTTCTGCTGGGTGAGTCCCTGGAGTGACTCAAGACATTCAGGCTTATTTCCAGGGCTCACTGTCTGACCTTGGGCAAATCATTTTGTTCTCTGCCTCTAAAAAAAATACTTAAAAAAAGGAAAGAAGATGCTTAGGAAAGGAAAACAAATGGTTTAAATTTGTATCAAGAATAACCATATTTAATTAAATGGTATGCATTAAACTTGCATACAGTTCTCTTCAAGGTAAAATGGTAGGACTGTAAATTTTTGGAATACCAACTTGCATGAGGGAACCTTGCCTTCACCTAAGCTGGTTTTTTTTTAGCTATAGTAGAAGTTCTGAACAAGGACAAAACTGCAGAGTTAGAAGCAGCCTTTTTCAATATGTGTAGCACTAGGAGGGATCCCTTGGGTCACAACACGCATTCTGCTTGAAGGTGCTTCTTGCTTACTTGGGAAAGCTTCCTTTATTCCACAAATGTACGTATCTCTGGGGTAGTAGTATTTGTGGGGGTCATTGTTTCTTGACAGGGGTAGAAGAGGATATAGAAGCGAAGACTTTCAGATGTTGCATGGTAGCTATTATTAAATTGGTTAATTTAATTTAGATCTTCGTTGCGATGAAAAAATGTCAGTTCGCTATGTCAAACCTGTGAAACACTCCTGTTTGTTTCTCTTTTGAGAAAATGCAAATCAGATTTAGTTTATATTTTTGTTCAGCTTAATGTCAAAAGGCTACCTTACCCTTCCACAGCACAAACTTCCTTGGCAAGACCTGTGTTCAAAAACTGCCTGAATAAATGAGTGCACCCAGCAACATGCTCCAATCATCAGCAGCCTTTCTGCAAAGAATAAATGGGTGAGCTGAACTCAAAGGCCCAGATTTCCATTCTCTGGCCACCAGGAAGAGGAAATACAGGGACTATTAGGTCACCATTCAGATGATCTCAAGTGCAGGCTCAACTTTAATAACAGATATAGTTCATGGTCTGTACTTTGCACAGACTATATAGGAAAAGCTAAGGAGAGTCAAGGATGCGGCTTTAAAAGATTAGCAATAAAATAATGATGGAGCTGTTATCTCACTAGGTTCATCTGCTACTCTGGAGGGAGGGTTGGAGCATTTGTTGAATCAACTTAGGTTAAAAATAAAACATGAAGTGAATAACAGCTCAGTAAATCTGCATATATTGTTCATTAAGAATAAAACACACAGTGATGGTGAAGATAAGACAGTTCACAGAGCTCTGGCCAGGGAAATTAAAAAATTACCTCACTAATTTTTTGGCTGTTCTGAACATACCAGTATTAAAGCCACAATACAAGATTTAGAGTTTATGTCACTTTGCAGTTCAAGTAAACCTTTGACCCAGACCTTCACAAGAAATACGAAGAGAGCTGACAATCTATGGGTCAGATGCACAGCAATGCTATACATAAAAAGATGACTTAAGATTAAAGAATTTAAAGAAAAAAAAAAAAAGGCATTATTTTGGTCAAGCTGTTCTTCACAACCAGATGGGGAGGAATAAAAAAGAAGAAACAAGTTAAGCAAAGGTGTTTTTTTTCCTGATGAGTTTTGCTTTGTCTCTTGAGTTTCTGCAAGAAATGGAAGGCATTGCAATTATACTCTTCTACTGATGAATTTGTTAGGATATTTACAATGGCTTAGCAAATAGTTCAAATTAACATTTACTTATTCCTTCTTAAACCTAATGGATCTAACTATGTAAAAGCTTTATATCAGTATGCACAGTAGCGTCATTTAAAGTGGGTAAAATCTATAGTCTTTTTGCCAACTTTATCTCATTTCAGGTGTCAGAATAGTATTTCAGTGGGGCATGATCGACACTGTATGCAAGTTCCTTCTATACAGGAAGTAAGTAGATGCCTGTATGAATTAAATACCCTCGGAGACTGTCTAATGTGTGTCCTGGGTCTAGCCTCTGACAAACTCTGAGAAGTGTCATCCTTGCAGACCATTACTCACACAGGAGTGGGCATCATTGCCAGAAAAAAACAAGTCTCCTGAGAAATGAGTAACGAGAGTTTTGTCCTGATTGGTGGTGGGCAAAGTTGATGGCTGCTGGGGCCTGGTTGCATAGTTTTTTAGGGGACTTTCCAGAGAACCTCCCAGAAAGGAGGAAAGGAATATGCTCATCAGGAAAATTGCTTTTCTGGGAGATGGCCTAATCACTTATACTGCAGAGAGGCAGGCTGCCTTTCACAGTCCCTCTGTATCACTATTACCATGCATGTCTGCAGCATCCAAGTGGAGCAGTCTGTAAAATAAGGACAGTGTGTCTGCTGGGTGTGAGCAATTGGTAACCTTCAGGGGTTTGTAACTTGGCCAAGCCTAGGAATGTGCCTGTGAGAATACCAAACAGCTCTTGCAACCCAGGGCTGAGGCCCTGCCAGGGTAACAGCCTCCTCCAGTGGATGGTGGATTGTGTACTAGGTTACAAGCAACTATCTCATGCCTCCCCTGCCTTTCAGCTTATGTGTAGCAGGTGAAGACTGCATCATTTTTTATCTACCATCTTCCAAGGATTCTAACTTTAATCCAATGTCTCCTCTCTTTTGTTTTCATGTAGGGATTTACCGTACTGAAAAAGACAAAGGCACATTGTACGAGCTGACGTTCAAAGGAGACGCAAAGCATCAGTTCAAGAAGATTGTTTTATTCCGACCATTTGGTCCTGTAATGAAAGTGAAAAATGAAAATGTCAATGTAGCTGACACACTTATTAATGTCATTGTGCCATTGGCCAAGAGAGCCAGCAAATTTCGGCAATTCATGCAGAATTTCAGGTGGGTTCCCATTCCAGTGCTGACTTCATTTTTTCTTACTTGGAAAGTAGAATGCAATTTTAGAAGTTATCAAGCCTTACTCAGTAAAAATCATACTACTTTTACATAATATTTCATTGTGCCACTAAGAAATCATTTTTGAGATTATTGTAGAGACTGAAAGGCATTTGGCTGCTTAATGCATTGTGATGAGCAGTAAAAGCAATTATATTCCAGTCATCAGGGTTTCTGATTTGCATTTACCTGGCTTATGTGTCTCAATCTGTTTTGCTGGGGCCCACTCACTGTGGCAACTTGAGAATTTCATGCTATTAGTTGCAAAGGAACATTTCTAAGGAAAAGGGGAGTTAGTGCTCCCAGACACTTTGCTAGGTGCTATTAGAGAAAAGATTAAGGCAATAAAAGACAAGAAGGAAATGTATTTGAGGATAGTCACTTTCAAACTTCTATTTTTCAGCATGGAGATAATGTTTGGAGGAGAATTTATTTGATATATAGCTTTAAATAGCTGCCCAGAAAAGACTGTGTTAGCAACAGATACTGACTCTTACAAAGGGATTTGTTTTGCCTGATTACAGCTATCTAAAATTAGGCTCCTTGTCTAAATTAGCCATCTAAGAGGTTCTTGTTTTAGACTGAGAGAAATCACCCTCTGGTCATGCTGATCTCTGATGATTATAGATTAACTCTTGCTGTCTAAACTTTGTACAAGTGAGGCATGATGTCTAGCACTGATTCATAAGGGTCCTATGCTTAGGCTCCTGGCTTGATCTCTGGTTGTTACTTAGATTTTAGTAAATGTTTCTTAACAGAATGCCAAAGATCTGAACTCTGAAATATCTATTATCAAAAAAATCAAGGTTAAGAGGTGGGTATATATAGCTTCTCTAACCTCCACCTCTCATATTCTCCTAAATGCTAGAGTTATTGCCTGCCTGATCATTCTTCCTGGGGCTTGATGACCTATTTTAATGGGATCCTCCTATTAATATAACAAAAACTGCTGTGTATTTTCCTAATCTGCCTGAAATATAATCTTCTGTCCCATCTGACAGAGGTAGAGTCCCTTGTCAGGACAAGGATCTCTGTCAGTGAATCGTGCCCTCAGGGATGCCTTCCAAAGTTCACCCTACTCTGTTTTGCCTAGTGGCTGTAGGTTATTGAAGAAAGCTAACTTCTGGCACAAGTCACAAATTTGTTTCTATTCTCTAGGGAAATGGGCATTCAGCAGGATGGGAGAATTCACCTCACTGTAGTTTATTTTGGAAAAGAACAAATGAATGAAGTCAAATCAATACTTGAAAATACCTCCAAGTAAGTACCCAAATATCTGATGTGTGCTGCTTATAAACTGCAATTGTACCATGAATTGGAGACTAGATAGCTGTCCAGACTTGTAGTTGTACCAAAAAGTTCTAAACTGCATCAGTGAAAACAGCTTTTTTTTCCTTTGTATCAGATAAAACCGGTGTTACCCTGACAGTGCCATGTCTATGGTTCTGTGATGCTGGTTTTTAGAACCACAAAGCAGATGTTAATGAATTTACCTCAGTGCAGCTTTTTTTTCACACTGGCAACTTCTTTAGTGCTTTTGAAAGTAACTTTAACTGTTAGGACTGAAAGTTGGCTTCCAAGGGCATGTGCAGACAATATTAGCAGAGCACACAGGAACTAGATGCTTTTGGCCAGGTCTGGTCTGTGTTTACTTGCACACTTGCTGTGTTTGTCAAGATCATGTGGCAGTGATGTCTTTTGGTATCTCTTCATGTGGGAAGAAGACCTTTGTATAGGTACAGTAATACAACCACATGTATTTTATATTTGCTTACTGACGGTATTTTTGCCCATCTAAGCATTGTTGGGATTTTTGTGAGGTCTGCCCAAAGAAAGAATGCTAGCATAGGAGTACACAGGTCAAGCTCTGAATGTAGACATAGTGGAAATCTCAAAGTGCACATTTCTTCCCTCAAACTGCTCTTAGAACTGTGACATTACAGATTTCTAGGTTAATTGTTTCATACTGGGTTCCTCACCCATATATTAAGAGCTAGAAGCACAGAGTCAGTTGCTCAATATTTTCTTTCAGGTCAGCCAACTTCAAGAACTTCACCTTCATCCAGCTGAATGAAGAATTTTCCAGGGGCAAAGGATTAGATGTTGGTGCTCGATTTTGGAAAGGAAACAATGTTGTTCTCTTTTTTTGTGACGTGGACATATACTTCACAGCTGAATTCCTAAACTCCTGTAGATTGAACACACAGCCAGGTACTGCTACTCATGAAGTGTATTGTCTTTCAACTTTCAACAGATTTTTACCTATTGTGTAAGAGTCTTCACCAGAGTATTCTTCTCTGAATCGGTAATGAAGCTGCAGTAAATCATTCTTGAAACTTAGAGAATTAATTAAGAGGATAAAAATTCCATTGCTGGTTGGCTTTTGAAAGGTTATAACACTCCTGCTCCCAGTGTGATGAATTTCTTCAGCAGCTGTGCTCTCTGGAACAAGATCTTTTTGTTAATTATATTATCCTCGCATTCATATTCTCACTCAAAGGATATAGGCTCAGTCAAAATTTGTGTGATTTTGGATTTGGTCTGAACTGGAGAGCATCTTGTAAGAGAGAGAAGTGAGTTCTATACAGCTTTAAAAGAAAATAAATAACCCATTGTCATTTCCAGGGAAGAAGGTGTTTTATCCTGTCCTCTTCAGCCAATATAACCCCAGTATAATTTATGGCCACCACGATTCCATCCCATCTTTAAAACAGCAGCTGGTAAGTACATGCTTCTCTTAATGGCTGCTTTTATTTGGAGAAAACATTTTTTTAAAGTGCATATGCTTTTGGGTAGCATTTCCGTATTCCTTGTGCACAGCCACCATCACACAGACAAAATTAACTATAGCAGTCACCTTACTGCAGTTTTGCAGTTATGTTTCCCAGGGAAGTATCTTGGTATCCTTTATTTTAACCCTTGTTTGATGTTTTATACACGGAGCCTAAGGATTTAAACCATGTTTGCTTCTCTGACAGAAGGGATTTTCTAATTGGTGAACAGTTCCTCCATGGTGTGCTGTCTTGGGGTGGTAGTCCCTGATCTTGCTCTCGTTTCTTCCTATTACTGCATAGTTTCTTTGCTTGCATCTTCGATAGCTCACATTTGTAAAAAGCATACATATCCTTAGATGAGTCAGTGAAAACAGAATTCCAGGGGCTGTCACAATTATTTCCCCACTTACTTGAACACCTACAGTGGTTTTTCCTCTCCCACATCATTAAACTGCCTGCAACCAGACAGTATGTTTTGAAATGTACCATGTTGTCTCAGAGTCAAATCACATGTTTGGAGCTGTCCCTTCTGGCTTTAATCTGGCGCTGACATAACACAGCTTAACTCCACTGTTTTTCAGCTCACCTGCTATCTTTGGTGTTACAACAAAGCATTATGTTTAAAAACATTGCCATCACGCATACTATTAAAACATGTAGTTGAAATGGGATAGGTCTCCTTGATAAGGAGGAAGCTGTTGTGAGGAAGAAGCAAGTGGCAGAGCCATTACATGGTGCTGCTGCAGATTCTATTCTCCACTCTCTTGTGCTCTGGCATTGCATTGTCTTGAAGCTAAAGGGGTGGTAGAAGTCACGGCTTTCCCTTTATGTCCACCCTCCACTCTTGCTTCTTTCCATAATCAGCAGGTCCCAGTCCTCAGCCCACTAGCACTGGTAAGTGGCTGAATTTTCAAATTGAAGCATAAGCCAGCTATGCAGCTTCATTCAGTTTCTCTGGGACAGGTCCCAGATTGGCACAGCTGCCCTTCTTACTGCCAGGCACTGCACCTCTCAGAGCTCATTGTGCCCCAGGCTGGACACTGTCTCCAGAGCATCCCAACTTCTATTGTTTTCAGTAGGTAAGAATTAGGGTTGTTGTGAGCCCAACAACAGTCACAGCAGAAAAAGATCACTAGGGGTGTGAGTCCAGTCTTCTGTCATCACTACCACAACTTCCTGCAATCCCTCTAGAAAAATGAAGAAATAGAGTCTGAAAAATCAACCAAAATATTTTAAAATCTTTTTTGTCTACTGCTCCCTGTGTTATCCAACAGGTAGCCAGAAAGTCTTTTACTGAAGAGGCTGGAAAATCCTTTCTATTGTTTGTTGTTTTTTTTTCTTTGATGAAACTTGTTCTGATAACACCATGGGATTCACATTAGCTCTTCTCTCTCTGATGAGAGCCCATCAGGGATTCTCAGGCTTTAAGGACTGTGCTTAGGAAATGAGAGTTTAGCTCTCAAGCTGGCATAAATTCCAAAAGCACGTTTTCAGGATTGTGCAAATATTTATAGCTAATATTTGAATTGTAAAATGTGATGCTTATGTCAGAAAAGCTTGACTTAAAGAAGTACTGCCAATCTAATTTTTATGTAGATTTTTATATTTTCAGCCCACATTAGTTTCCAGGCATGAGGCCAGATCTGTGCCATTAAAAGAAGACATTGTTAGCACTCTGTCCTGTTACTTGGGCTGCTGAGAAGAAAAAAAGGAAAAGCCTTCAGCGGTCTTTGACAGAATTTGATTTGTGCAGCAGCCACTTGCACTAATGGGAAATAATAATGCTAATGCATACGAGTAGCTTGCTGTAAGGGCAGCAGCATGGAGATCTTCTGCTACATTGCAGACCTGACAGCTACAATCTTGTTTCTTTTTAATTGGCTTCTGCAGCAGCTTGGCTTTGTCAAGGAAAGGAGAAAAGAGAAAAGAAAGAAATAGCCACACAAGCAGTAAGATAGAAAACATTGACGTGACAAGAGTTATAAACAAAAAGGGGAGGCATGAACAAGAAATCAGGAGAGACTATTTTGGAAGAGGATTTTTTGGTAAAGAAAATGCTGGGATTTGTAAATCCAGAAATAGAAATTGTCTCCTCATCTTCTGTAGCTCTGTGGCAAGTGAAGCCAAAATTATCAAAAATAACTGCTAAGGGGTAGGTTTGTAACTAGACCTGCAAGAGTGACAAGTAATGCTGACTTGCTTAGGGGATTTAAATACCTGTCCCGGTCCCCTGAAGCTCTTGGGTGTGTCACCAGACTGGGTTAGGTCACTTAAATTATGACCTTATGGTCAAATATACTTGGATATTTGCTTTTGAAAAGGATAACCCTGCTTTTTTGCTCATCTGATTTTATACCTGCAATACATGTGTTCATGGTCTATCTCAGTAATGTAGACTGCACATTCATCATTACAAAGGCTTTTATGGGATATATATCTACCACCTAACATTTCTGGACTTCAATTTTAGCTGGACTTAGCAGTTCTGTAGTAAGAAACTATTCTTCCCATTTTCCTATTTTTTGTCAAAATTAAGGCAATCAAAAAGCTGTCAGTTGTGTGGTCAGATCAGAACCACTGTTTTCTTCCAGAGCTCCTGTGGTCTACAGCAGAGTTTGGCTTCCCTGGTTTGCCAGTATGTTTCTTACATTTGATTTTAATCCCATAGAAACCAATAATTTTGGAGGATGTTTTGTCTGCAAGGAAGCAAACTCCATAGAGAGATGTGATATGAATCCTTTTGGTCTACAACAGCAGGAGTGGATCAGGGGTTTATCCATGATAGCTAATGACACAGCTGATTCTTTTGGGCAGAAACGTGCACTATCTACAAAAACTGGTTCAGGATCAGCCACGGATTTCCATGGGGAAGAATTAAAGAGCTTCTATTTCTGCCCACATTCAGTGTGCTTCTCACACTGAAAGCACTTCTACTCCCATATAAACATTCCCTTCCCTCCATGCAGGTTATTAAGAAAGAAACTGGATTTTGGAGAGACTTTGGGTTTGGGATGACTTGCCAGTACAGATCTGATTTTATCAACATAGGTAAGAAAAGTACACTCCAATACATTTGTCTTTTTACTGAGATAGAGAAAACTGTGATCGGCTTCCCTTTCCTTGGCTAGTGTGTCTACGCCTCTAATTTGCAGTAGAGCTCTGGTTAGATGTTCAGACTATTCCTAGGTGTCATAGAGGTTACCAGAATCAGAGCTCTGCTCAATTGAAATAAAGCAATTTTGTCTGATAGTGAAAGATTTGAAGTTAAGAAATTTGGACACTTTGATGTTGGCAGAAAGTCCGTCTGTTTTAAAGGGCTGACTGGAGCCAGAGAACAGCTGTAGTACAATCAACAGCACTAGTTTGCTAGTATACATTTCTAGTTTTATTTTGGATTTTGTTTGTATCAGGTGGCTTTGATCTGGACATTAAAGGATGGGGTGGTGAAGATGTACATCTGTACCGCAAATACATTCACAGCAACCTCATGGTGATCCGAACGCCTGTCAGGGGTCTTTTCCATCTGTGGCATGAAAAACAGTGCCTGGACGAGCTGACCCCAGAGCAGTACAAAATGTGCATGCAGTCCAAGGCCATGAACGAGGCTTCTCACGGCCAGCTTGGGATGCTTGTTTTCAAGCAAGAGATAGAGACACACCTGCACAGACAGAAATGGAGCAAGAAGAAGACATGAAGCCAGAAAAGGGAGGCAAAACCCCTCTGAATTGGACTGTATGGTGTTTTGGAAAAGAGCTGCTAACAAGAGAAGATGAGATGAGACTGAAAGAGGATGGTGATTCCAGCAGGATGGCGGCAGCAGCAGATGAGGGAAAGCGCTTGCTCTCCCACCTTCTGTTTTTTTTTTTCTTAATAGGACTTTTAAGTACTCCGTCAGCCTGACTCTTCAGCACTTGCTTATGGGGCAGACCTGAACACCTGATGAGATTCAAGGTCACAGAGGCAATAAACATTATATAAATGACAGTGTGGTATTCACAATAACAAATGGATGTGCTCTTCCATTGAAATGTTTGGAAGATGTGCACAGTTATTTAAAGGATTGACCCGCTGGTGGGTCAATAATAATGAGATACTTTCTACATCTAGCCTGACATATCTAAAAGGATCTATTTTTGAATATTTTGAAGGGCAGAGTGCCTGCTCTGGGAATGCCATCTGATTGTTAACCATGATTAAGCTGGAGTGACCAAAAATCTTCTTCGCTCAAGGAGCTGGGGTGGGGTAGCAACAGCAGTGAACTGACAGGGTATTCCCAATTCACTCAGAGGCAAAAGGCACCTCAGAAAGTGCTTTCAAAAATCTAGGAGAAAGCCCTACTGATCAAGTGTGATGTTTCAAAAACACTGGAAAGTAGTGCTTGTTCTCTTCTGCAGACAGCAAACCAAAAGCACTGAGCCATGTTATATCACATGAATCAGATGGTGTATTTCTGCTTTAGAATACTGTAAGTATCTCAAGATTTATTTTTAAATTAATTTGGTTTTGCTTGGGAATTATTTTGTCATACTTCAAGTTTTCTACTTCTAGCCTTACTAGGAAATAGTAACAGCCTTCCAAGACTTGAAAAATGCTCTGCAGATCTGTGTTTCCTATGAATGGGAACTGGGTTCAGATAAGTAAAGGGATTTTTCTACACAGTCTGGGTGCTGGGAGACAGAAGCTTTACCATGCAGAAGAAAAGGATATATATATATCAACTTGCAGTACTGATTTAGCTGGAGGCTTTAAACACTGAATGTCAGATAACAAAATTAATGACCATTAATCAATACCAAAGTATTCCTTTTAAACCAAATGTAGAATCTTGCCGAGAGCATAGAAAGCTTTTTGTAATTAACAAAATAAATTTCTGTGATGGATTACTGGACCAAGAAAATTCTCTTATCATAATTATAGGTGCATCCTTCTTAATAGATTATTTCCAATTGCCTAAATATGTTGAAAGCATGAGTTACTGTTCTTATAAAGCATTTTTCTTTTAATGCTGGCTACTGTTTGTCATTTTAATGTATACTAGCCAACAAAAACTGCATGGGCTTGGAAATCCTATTTACTTACCTGCATGCTGAAACATGCTGCTTCTCTCTTTGGTTTATAGCTTCATATTAATTCAAAGTATTCTGAAAATAGGTTCTAATTTGGTTTTTGGCTTGAAAAAGCTGGTGGAAGAAATATGCAACTGAACAATGAATAACATGCTATTTGTTGTTTTACTTGGAGAGAACTTATGAACCTCTTTTGAAAGCACCCTGTGCCCAATCTGCAGGCTGAAACCATGCTACTGTAAGTACCTTTTCCCTTGACACATGTTTACAGGAGGTTTTCTTCTGCTGGACGCATATGATCTGCATTGCAAATCCCTTGCAAATCACCAGATGTGCAAAACCAATGCAAAAGTACAACAGAAAGAATGGAAACTCTGTATGCTTAAAACCCCTACCCCCAAATACGTAACTTACCATAAAAACTTCAGCAATAACTCAAGTAGGTCTTCCAAAGGACTTTTTTTGTTCCCAGATTGCATGATAAATTATTTATAAAGGGCTTTGTTTTGATGGAGTAACTTTTTAAATACACAACAGGAGAAGACGGGTATGGCTTGTTGAATACATATGAGAGCTATGGTAACTCAGCTGCTCCAAGATAATAGTTGCTCCTACAGTCCCCCTTAACCTGAATTTGAAATGTATTTTAGGAGAGTTTCATAATCATAGCCTGCTTCAAGCCTAACCTTAATATTTCCATGATGTTTTTAATTTATCCTCCTTTAGGTTTCCCTAAGCCCTCAGCTTAAGGTATCTTTGAGGTTGGCTGCACTTACGGAGCAGGGATAGACAGATGATCTCCAGAGACCTCTTCAAATCTACATTACTCTGTAATTGGAAGCATTTGACACCTGTAAATTCAACACGTTGTTACTTTGGGTATCTTAGCAAGCATGTCATCCAGCCCCTGTGGGAGTTTTACAAGTTGTGTTTTCAAATAGTACCCAGCAGGACAACAACTATGGCACATTCTTCACATGAGAATGCTTCACTGGTGCTACCTTTTCTCTAGGATCTCTGAGTGACTTTTCATTTTAGCTGTATTTTTCAAAAGAAACAGTTCCTGGAGAAGGAAAGAGAGATTTCCCCCCCCACACACACACAAATATTCTGGCACCACCTCTCCTGATTGTTGCAGATTATTTTGCAAGTATCTCTTTGATACATGTGATACAGTGCCTTAAGAAGCTCCTTATGTCACTTCCATTGCCAGAGTGTTGTCACTTTCAGAATTTCACTTTAAGGCTTTATCTCCAGACTTAAACCTGCTGTAACTGGAATGCTGTTATTCCTCCTTCGTTGTATGGAAACCACCTATCAGCGGAGTTGTACATTTTAAGACCAGATGATTGTAACAGTTTCTTTGAGTCTGTATTCTGCAAGACGCACATCAACGTAAGACTGAAGTTTCTGACTGCTTCCTCAAGTTAAGCCCTGACCCAATAGAATAGCCCTGACCCAACAGAAAGAAGGGAACAAGTAAACCAACTGAAACCAAATTGACTCGTTCACGATTTGAGGCTTGTATCTCTAAAAACTGTTTGCAGATTTGTACCACAACCTTCAGCTGTACAGTTTGTCACGCGCAACACCAAGATGAGGGAACCTGGGCGAGGATTCATTTGCTATGTGATTTTTCCAGCCTCTCCCACAGTATTCTGAAGTATATATTTAAAGAGCAGCATAACAGATAAAAAGAGAGAATATTATGTTGAAAGAACAAGTTCTATATTAAAGTTTACACCCAATGCATCTCAGTAATCTGGACACAACTTGCAATAAATAGCTCCATTTTGCAAAATAGCATTCTTTGCTGGCAAAGGTTCTTCTGTAAACTGTACTAATACTGATATAGGCACGGCTTCTTACATCTTTTAGGTTCTGTGCATGTGGAAGTCTTTCATACAAATTCCTATATAGCTTCTCCTTTCCCTTTCAAAAGACTAATCTCTCTCTATGCAGAAAGGCTAGTGTGGGACTTAAATACAAGTTAAAAGGGTGAGGATCTACATTCAGAGGCTAAAGGAGTTTTAAAAATGTACTTTTCATGAAAATCCCTCTTCACAAAGAAAACCTTTCACTGAAAGGCACAGAGGGTTTGCTTGGATGTTTGGCTTGAACATCCTTGATTCCAAGGGCACAGCATTTTACAGGATTTATCTTCACATTATGCAAATTACTGTATCAGGATGAATCACCCCCTCCAAGTTGTTTTGTGCCTTCAGGAAGGTATGATCTCATTCAACTGTAGACACCAATCTATTTCCCAGATGGCACACAACCTGGCATTCAAGAACAAAAGGCAGCTTGAATACAGAAGTCCCCGAGGAAATCTGCAAACACCCACTGAAAATACGTGGCAGTATCTCCCTGTTCAATTGATTACTTCATCATTTCATTCACTCCACTGTGCAGGATGCATCCAAGTGCTTTGCAGCTTGCTGGGCTGATGCATCCATTAACTCAGTTGATACCGCTCACAACAGTACTTATACTCTCACTGTGTTGTTGTGAAGGATATAAAACAGAGGCACTGATGGCAACTATTTCAAGTAAGCATCAACAGCTCTAGTTCGAAGTTCAGTCTGTGAATACGAGCATGGGGCTGCACAGTGAGACCGGGAGGCTCATTCAAAGAGAGAGATGTAATCTGCTTCTTGGTCCTCTTGGCCACAGGGGTAAAGCAACAGCTCCTTTCCCAAGGAAGTGATGGGTTCATCCTGTTGATAAAGGATATGATTAAGCACCACCTTTCAAACGGACCCTACTTATCACAGCATCACAGGGTGAGCAACAGTCTCCCTGCCTCTGTAACAGTGTGGTCTTGTTCATCTGTGTGAGACAGCTTAGTGTCCCAGGGAACTTGCAGAGGGACCCACATAAAACAAAGTCTTTATAAAGCAATGTTTGTGCTCGGTGCAGTAACCCAGTGACATGACTCTGGCAGTTCTTGGAAAGAGCTGTGCTTGTCTCGTAAGCAGCCACATCTTCTATGGTGTGAAATGCTGCCCTGCCTTGAAAGTGCTGGAGCAAGGACTGTGCAGCATGCAGGTAAGCAGGACAGGGTGGTTGTGAACTGTGCTCCCGACTGCATTTGTGGGAGAGACAAGGGTGGATACTGGAATAAGCACATGCCTCTGCTCAGGCAAGCCCTGTTCTAACAAGGAAATTCCCTGATAGTACAGTCTCTCTTTCCCATCTCATTCTCCACCCTGGCAGCAGGTGCATGATGGGAACTTGCCTTCTCTTGTGGTCACTTTGTGGGTGATAAGCAGAACCCACTAGGGCAGTTCACAAAGTGGGTTCATCCTCCCCCTATCTGCTATAGTGCAGGGGGTCTGTAGGGTTCTTTGCAGGCTGTGGGCATGGCTCTATCTTTAAAGCCTGACTGCGTATCTATTAAATCCCCTGGCTCTGGTACCAGTAGTTGTATTGCCCCTGCTTTCAACAATTTCAGTCTGAACTGTGAAACCCATGCAAGAAGCAAGTTCAGGTAGCCCAGGTAGCGCTCCATGTAGCAAATGAGCGCAGATGTTTTCCTCATGTCCCATTTTGTTTAGCCATGTCTGTATTATGCTAGGCACTTGGTTAAAAGAAACATGGATTTTAAATGAACCTTAAGGCAAAATGATTGTCCTGTGCCTGGGAAGATCTTACAATAAAGGAATGAATAATCCATCCGACCCTCCTTGGAGCCCATGTAACTGCAGTCAGTGTTAGAGAATATTGCTGTATTGCTGTTATTGTTGAAAAAATTGCCAACCTACTTCCTTCCCTTCTATTTTTTTATCTTTGCTCAGTATTACACCTTGCCTGCTTTGACATTATAAAGATACCTTGGTCTCTTTCATGCCAAAGCTGGAGGCAAGCAGGATTCCCTGCTTACCCAACTTGCCAGGACCCCACAACCATGGAGAGAATAAAAAAAGAGGAGTCTGCAGGAGTATGCTGTTACCTCTCACCTTACCAGCATTTCTACTGAACAGCATGCAACTGGAGCCCTGCGTGCAAGGTGCTTTGCATACTTGAGGGGAAGCAAGTGAGTCAGGTCAGAAATGTCTGAGATGCTTTAAGTCACCTGAGATGTACCCATCAGGCTGGAATACCCTTCCGGAGCAGCTGGATATCCAACAGCAGCTGAAATGGGTCTGGTTGCCTACTTTAAACCAGTTGAATCTATTCTTTCTTATTTTGAAGGGCCTTGAGGCAATTAAGCAGTTAATGAATGCATTGCCAGATATTCACCTTGTGGTAGTCTACAAGGTCAGCCAGTGTCGAATGTTGTAGCTGGTCCACTCCAAGGAAGCTGTAGGAGTCACTGGAGGCATCAATGAGGAAGTGTTTGCATCCTTCTACAGATCGATAGGAGAGCACGTAGCCTTTGATTTTCTCACTGACCCGGACCAGGAAACTCCCTGGTACTGTTTTATTCAGAAGCTCTTCTGCTTTCTTAGAGGTTAGGATACCTGTCCAAAACCAAACCAGAAAACTGAAGGGAGAAAAACACATGTGCAAGACTGGATTGAACAGTTCTCACAAGAAATCTGCTTTACTGCTCCAAAGCTGGTCCGTGGCACTTCCATCCCTTGCACTGCTTCTTGCCCAGTAGACCAGGAAGAACAGTACTGCCATTGCTAGCAGCAAACATGCTAACTTAGCATTATGGTAACTTCTCCAGACTTGGATGATTATGAATGTGCATGGCTCAAAAGGACAGCTTCTGCATTATGAGAGAGAACAGCATTGCAGTGTGTTGTATGTTGATTCCAGTACAGCAGGGCTGGGCAGACAGCGACCATAGGTCCTGTCAGAAAGCTGTGTAAGCATTAAAAGCCCAGTTACAAGAGGATAACTCTTTTGTTGCTACAGTCTCACATCAAAGATATTTCCAAAGCAGCAGAGATGGATGGGATCATGATGACCCATTAGAAGTAGGACTGAAAAGGTGATGGATGATGAGCACCTATGGAGGGAGAATGACCTGGGGCTGAGGATGAGGTGTGCCCAAATCTCTCTCACCCTGGTCCAAACAGTTACCAGAGTGACCATGCATCCAGTACAGGGAGGAAGGAGTGGCATAAAGATATAGGACATTTTGAAGATCTGGCCTCTGTTCTAACACTTCAGCTTGCCCTTTCTCATTATGCTAAGGGAATTTAAACTACATTCATAGGTATTTAAAACGGAAAACCTAGCCATCTTCAAAAAGCTCCTGGGCCCAATCTATGCAGCAGCCATGTTAGCAGGAACAGCTCCTGAAAGAGTTGGGTTGGGGCAGAAATGCTCAGGACTCACCATGAAACCAAGGAGCTATTGTGTCTGTGTTTTTCTGATAGCCAGCTCGGAGAGGGAATTGCTCCTCTCTGAACCACCTGATGATGCTTTCTTCAGTGGAATTGGAGATTGTCCTCTGGATTCCCTCTTTCCTGTTTGAAAAGACTGTGATTAGTGCATCAAATGCAAACGATGGCTTTTGAGTCCTTGGCAAGACTTCCCTTTTGTTCAGAATGTTAAGAACAGCCCTGAACTTACACTAGTGCAACTGTCAGCAATATTATATGGTTTTCAATAGACATTCAGCATAGAACATGTATGCACTTTAGGCTTAGGATACTCTACTAAATAAACCTGTTACATTTTAGTAGTGAACAAGTATGTCTCATCACATCCTAGGCTGGCATATAGCCTAGGCTCTGCATTTTTCCCTGTGGGGTGTCTTCTCCATGTGAGAAAGAGAGATAACCATTCCCATCTCAACCATCCCATGCTAGAGCAGAAGAATCTAACCCCTTCTTCCCTCCACAGTGCACACATAGGGGTTTCCTTACCGAATCGTTCTCCCGTTTGACATCACAGGAGGTAGAAGTTTAGGCTTAGGAGGGAGAGGTGGGTATTGGAGTGGTCGCCGATCTCTTGCCGTGGCACCCTTGGAAATATCTGCCTGCTTCCCTTTGTGGATGCCCTGCAGTGAGAGTCTCCTGTAGTCGTCCCTGGCTTGCCGTGCAAGAGAGCGTCTCTTCTCATCTGCTGCCTTGGATTTCTGCACTGGAAGAAAAAAGGAATCCTACAGGAACGAACAAGCAGGCAAGTTTTAAGCTTGCTGCCCTTTGGCCATCCGCCTGTTTGATGAAGTGGAAGAATAACCTCTTTCACAAGGTTGCACTCAATTGTGAGGCCATTTGCCATGTGTCTCCCCTCACTTTTGGTATCTGCTACTTAACAGGGTTCAGTTCTTATACCTTCAAGAGATTAAACATCTTGAGTTCTTTTTGAGCACCAGGTAGGTCCCTTTGAACTTACAGACTACTTGGTTCTGTTTTAGATACTGATTCCTGGCTCAGACATACATTTCTGTCATACCTTTCATGAGAGCCAGTGGGGAGGGGTTATGGAATAAAAGCAGCTGGAATTACTCTAAAGCAGTCCTTTGAAGGATTTGAAAGTGCTGGTCATATTTTGAGAGTGGAAGGGGTCTTGTTTAAACTCGTTCAGAAAGAGGAGAACTTGACTGGATATATTTTATTTTTTTTTGCTGTAAAACTGCCTTGATTGTCTAGGTCCAGCTCATCCTGGAGTCTCAGGAATAACAAGCTCTCCGGTCGGTCTGACCCTGGCTATCCCCTAGCCTGAAGTGTAAACTATTCGTAGCACAGCACTGCCATCTGCTGAGCAGCAGGGGAGGAACGGGGGAAAAAATGCCTCCGGTTCTCCTTCTGGAAGTATTTGGCAGCAGCGATGGATACTACCGCAAGTTTCATGCTGGAAAATATGTGTTTGCCGTTTTCCTTTGTATCTTTTTGCATTCACTACATGACACAGGGCAGCAGGAGCCTGTTTAGGTGGGATCGTCCTTGGATGTCAAGCACGGAAAACCCTTTTTAGTTAGTCCCTGTCACCCATTATCCTGTCCTTGAGAGCAATGGTTACTGCAAAGACCTACAAAAAGCTAGCTTCTAGTTTAATTATCCTGGCTATACTCATGTGATTTCTATTTGTTGCTTGTTTTAATATAGTATCTGTAGGAAAATTTTCCATTTCCTGCCCAGCTCTAGTCCCAGTGTTGCGTGGACTCAGTGCTGTGATATATTATGCAGTGCTGTATTTCTCACCAGTACACCCACCAACCAATTATTCAGTTCCAGTGTGTGAGGAGAAAGACTGAGATGATCCCACAGAATCCTAGGATTTCTCAAGCCCCATCTAAGATCTTACAGGATTCCTGCCATTCAGGCTCATTCTCATCCAATTTCTGCAGCGTCCTGTGGCTCTCTGAGCTGGGGCGGCTCTGCAGTATTGCCTCCTGGGGGACTGTGGTTTCTTCTCCTCGATTTCTCCTCTGTGCTTCTTTCATCTATGAAAGAAACAGTGTGTTCAGGTTTGTCCCAACCTAGTTTTAACCTTGCTTTTTAGCTAGCCTTCAAATACTGGCAACCCCATTCTTTATTGTGAATCCCTCTGATTTCAACAACATATAGACACTATGTCTTTACTGCAGGTGACAACAGAGGAAGTAAGGGAAAACAGTCTACCAGAAATCATCTCCCTGTACTGCTCCCTAGACTGCCAACCTGACCTGCTTTGTATCAGCTCCAAATCATCACACCATACATGAAGAGCATGGAAATGATGGATAAAACTGTTCCAACAACCGGTGAGGACATTTTTGGGTCAGGTTAGTCTGACTGGGACTCTATGGTAAAGTCTGAGCCCTGCTCAGTGTGTTAAAAGTATCCTACATTGCCACTTACCTGTTGGAAGCCACATTTCCTCATGTGACAGGCTGCCAGCATCTGGTGAACATCTCTGGTTTCCCTCTGGGAAGAGGAAATGAGTGGTGAGAAATAAATGTGACATTGGGACTACTGCTCTTTTTTTGAGCAATAGGTATTTAATGCAGAAGCAGCAACACAACATTTACGTTAAAAAATTTTGCCAGCCTTCTCTAACAAGCACTGATTTGTTTCATCATATTAGGCCTAATATGCCACTCAGGGGTGTCAAGATCATCATAAGCTTGGATTTGCTAAACAGTTCTTCCAGGTGCTCCCAGGGAGCAGCCCTTTCCCTCCCTCCATCTAAAGCAAGCCTTAACTGAACCTGCCATCCCCAGCTTTACCTGCCTGTTATTGTTTGCTGCTGTGTTTGAGGTGCTGCAAACCCCTGCTTGTCAAACTGACCCAGCTAGCTGCGTGTCTTGTGATTACTCTTCCCTGCAAACCAGTCTAGCTACCCTGGCAGCAGCCGCTAGCTGAGACCTGCCTTTGAAGACAAACAGTTAGACTTGTCTTTGAGCAAACACCCTCCCCTTCCCCATTGGACCCAGACTGCGTTCCATGGCACAGTGAGTAGCGAGTTAACTGTACTACACTGCTTACCAAGGACACACTGTTTTTTTATCCCCATCACCCTCTTAGCTAACATTTAATATAAACTTGGCTTTCCAATTTCCCTTCCCTTGACAGGAAACTAGGAACTTCAAATGTGTGTGAAGCAGCTTGCTTTCTTAGATTAGTCCCCCATCCCTTGCAGCAGACAAAGAGAGGTAAGAAAAAATCCCTCCCCTGGCCTAGAAAATGCAACAGGGATCTTTGGTCTGGATCCCTGCTTCTAATAACAATGATGTCTCAGAAACCTGGGAAAAATTATTAATAATTTAATGACAAAACCCAGAAGTACAATATATAACCCCCTCTATTTCCGTGTGCAAGACTTTGAAAGGCGTTTAGATTTTTTGGGGGTGATGGTGGGATTTTTTGTTTGGGTTTTGTTTTTGCTTTTTCTTTATTAGCTGTGACTAACAGCTTCCTTTGAAAGGAAAAAAAATCTCCCACATAGTTGCTCAACTTCAGCAAACAGTGCTAAGAAAACCCCGTGTGAGTCAGAGGCTCTTGATAAGGGAGACTGCCATTCCAAATGCACTTCAGTATTTTGGGAGCAGCAGGAGAGGCGCGTTGCCAAAACCTAACCTTCAGTTATCGTGCTTTTTACACTGAAATATGGAGTGGCTGTATAATAAAAGAACGTACACTCATACGAGTTAGCAGCAAAAGACTGAATGAAAACACTGCTGAATGATACTAGGCTTCTCCCTTTGAATTGTCAGGGGGTTCTGTTCCTTCTGTTCAGCTTTGGTTGCATGGGTAGTCAATTCAACTCATCTTTTTCTCAGTTCTCTGCAAAGGGTTTTTTGTAGCCAGTTAAAAAGTATAGGTATATTTATTGTTGAAGAAAAGTATTTTTGTAGTGAAGCACCACAGTAAAACAGACACTGCAGTTACTGCATTTGCAGTTGTCCTGTGCTGTCAATATCATAAGCTATTGTTAAACTGTTTTAGAAGACGAAAGAAAAAGAAGAACCTAAAATATACATGTCAGAGTACGCTGGTAAAATTATCATCATCTGGTTTTATACAAGTAGATGATTTGTTTCAGGGATGTGGCCTTCCACATAAAGATCCTGGAATACCCTCCCTGGTCGTGCCTCAAAGCCATCCAAAACTGCCACAGAGCAGGAGGAAAAGTACTGCAACCCTTGTTTTACCCACGGAGAATGGAAGCAAATGAATCCAGAGTAACTTGTAGCACTTGAACCTCCCTAGTACTAAGGAAGGATATAACAGCATGGCTTCTTCTCTGACTACAGAAGAAAAGCCTTAACAGTTAGCTGGCTTCTTTTCTTCTTCAAATTACTATTTACAGCAGCCAGGATTTGCTGCAATTCCGAGATCTCAAAGCATATGTTTGTGATGGTTATGGAAAAAAGGGGGTAAACTACCTTTGTGATCTCCTGGCTTTTCCCTGCTGTAGCAGCAGTAATTTTTCTCCCACATTCCTTCTTTTCCTCCACAGTGCTTTTCTTATTCCCATGAAGATCTGTCTCACCTAGGACTCCTGGTTGTAGATGTAAAGACTGTGTTACAGAAGAGTCAGTCTCTCTGAAATGCAAGATTGAGAGAGGACTTAAGAACCTGAGGGAGTCACTTTCTGTTCTCTGGGCATCTTGTGAGGAAGCTGCACATGGGCAGAGCAGTGGTACAACGAAGCAACATGTGCAGGCATCTATCGTAGCTCCAAATCAGGTAGGTGGCATAATTAAATTAATGGCTTGTGGTGAGTAACTGTTGTCCTGCTGTGCATGGGAACCCGCTGGTTAATCAGTGGCAATCCAAACTCATCATGTGCTGTAATAATAGAGTTAGCATTTCCTGTGGTCTGCAGAGGGTATCATGCAAGAGCCATATCACAGGAAGCTTAATGAGCCAGGTCAAGCCTCAGGCTGGGTCTGGTCTCTGCCAACACTGTGTGCAGCCAGCCTTTGCCTCTGCCTTTTGCCTGCAAGTTGAGTGCAACAGTGGTAGCCACAGCCCCTGCAGAGAAGACTCCAGCCTCTGGGTCCTTAGGAATGCCTTTTCCTCCATGTCTGCTCACCGAGTCATCTGGCTGAAAGTTGCTTACCTGCCCTCCTTGCTTTGCTCTCTCACCAGCCGCTTTGCCCTTTGTGCCTGGATCTCTTCACAGATGGCAGCATATGATTTATCTGAAGGATGCTCACCCATCACCCAGACCCAGACATCATTGTCAGCACCGAGCTTCCATGTCACCGACTTCCTGTTGGCTGGAAAAAAGTAGCTCTTTGGCAAATGCTGTTTGGTGCCTCCATGCAGGGTGTGTATTCTGCCTGCTGTGCCCTCCTGGCTGCCGCTGATGGCAGAGCCTTTCCAAAAGCATCTGCAGTTTGGGAAAGCTGGGCTGGGAGACAGCACATGCCTCCCATTTCTTTTCACCATAAAGAAGCCAGGTCAGTGAAGGACACAATTCTGAGTCTGGGGGCAGAGAAGACTCACCACCATCCTCCTCAGACTGTGTGAGGGTGACCTACTTGCAAACAGAGGATACTTCTGGGAGAAGAGTGCTTCTTCCCAGGAGTCGGCACACTGTGTAATCCTGGCAAAGGGACTTCAGGTCTAAAGGCACAACGGGAACCCCCTTGCAGATCTGGTGCCCCAGGACAGACATTCAAGTCCATGGTTATTTAATGGGCAGATTCAGAGGCCCCATTTAGTGGGACACTTAATGAGATGCACCTCCTGGGGCCAAGTAAGCTCTGTCTTTCCAGCTACAGTTGTTGAGCAGTTTGGTCAAGGACAGAGTGTCTGCGCCAGGGACTAACACCATTGCTTGCCTGGTCAAAACTAGCCCATTGCAGTTGTAAACCCAACTTGTTACGGTTTGGAAATACGACTACTATATGTCCCTGAAGGAAGAAATTGCTCTAAGGAAATTATCTCCTAATTTCTAGGGAGCAATTGACTTGGCCAGATCTGTGCCAGATGGGGAAGCAGCTGGCAGGCAAAGACTTACCTTTTCTAGGCAGAGGTTTCTTTGGTGAAGCCTTGTCCATAGCAGCTTCTCTTTCTTCCCATCGTCTGATCTGTTCCTGCCGCATCTTGAAAAAGAGGATCTGCTTCTGCTCCTCACTGAGTTCTGCCAGCAGGTCAGGATCAATGTACATTTCCGATAGTATCTGTTTCAGCATGGCTGCAGGTTTCAGTTACGCACGTTTGAGGCAGTGATCTCCAGGGATCAGCTCTCTTCCTGGCTCCGACAAGAAAGAGTCTCTCCCCGCCTGAGCCTGGAGCAGGAATGCAGGCGTGCCAGAGTAATTATACTTCTGTCTTTTTTTTTTAGCTCAGACTTCCTGCACAGACCAAAAAGGTAAATAAGCAGCTTAAAACCTGCTGTTAAGATTCCTTGAAATAAGAGGTGAGCTCAGCTCCCACGCAGCCCCTGTCCGCTCTGCAGGGAGAGCTTACCAGAGGGATGAGTCCTTGAATGTGGTGGTTGTTGATACTCTGATAAACCCAGCTGATAGTATATCAAAAGAGAGAGAGCGCTGCCTGTTACAGTCATCAGAGGTGCGGCTTGGCTGTGCCCAAGCAAACATTCCTGCTGGGCAAGGAATCAATGAACCCATGACTAGACGGCTCCTCCTCCTTCCAAAGGGGAAGACTTTGATGATCAAAAGCCCAGCCTGCCTTGTTTCACAAAAGAGATATGGGGAGGGCCTTCGGCTCTGCTTTTGAGGTTGGAGTAAGAATTTTGGGGTGCTCCTGTCCATTAAAGGCAGCCTCATGGCAAGTCAAGGGAGCACAAATAGTGCAGCTGGTTTGAAGAAAGATGACTTGGACAGTCAGTCACTGAGGAACTGAGGCAGCTCCTGGTCTGACACGTGTTGCTGATGCACCTTGCCCACACAGTGAGCCTGGCATGGGACATCCCTGTATGACAGGATGAAGCGGATGGGGAGAAGGAGCACCCCGATCCTGCCCAGGATGACAGGTCATGTTTGGTGCATGCTAGCACGGTACTAACACCCACACAGCTATGCTTTATGGATTTGTATTTACAAGAGGAGTTTCACTGAAAAAGTCAGAGCTCTCCTGTCAGTTGAGAAGATGCCAAATGAGAAAATAAAAATGTGGAACTTTGAACCAGCTCTTTTCCTTATCTTCTCTGGATAAAGTCGGGGAGATCAGAAGGTTGATTGGCAGCACTTTTGTGGCGGAGGTCAAGAGCCACACGTGAAGCGCAATACCAGAGCAGGATGGCTGGCTGGCCAGCCAGGGGTGGCAGGGGCTTTCTGGACAAACTCTTGGTAAATATTGCCAGCAGGCTACAAAGAAAGCTAGTAGGATTACTTGTGTGCTTCTGCACAAGTCCTAGGAGTCTAAGGAACAAGTACACCAGGACATAGCACAGTAGGTGGGAGGAAGGGGGTTGTTGGGGCAGTTATGTTGAGGTACAAAGGGCACAGACATGGCAGAAGGACCTGTACTGGAGTGAAGTGGCAGTCTGTATTAAATCCTGGGGTCAAACCAATTAACCATCTTACAGGACAAGGGCTAGATCTCTAGGGACTCCGTTGTTGGAAGTAAAGTATTGGGAGCACATTCACCTTCAGAGTATGACTGCCTGGCTTCTGCCAAATAAAATGAAATAACAGAAAGAGGTAGTAGGAGAGTCAGTGAATGCAATACTCAAGCTTTCCAAGGAGTACACATACAGAGCACATGTAATTAATTGAAATGCAGCAGCACAACAGCAACCTTCATAAAATCAATCTGGCAGGACAATACCTGCTGTGCTGGTCCATCTTCCCCCTTCTGACTCCCATGCCAGGATCAGACAGGCTGTCAAGCAGGTATCTCCCCACTTCTGAACATGGCTTGCCCCCAAACTGGTGGAGACAGAGCCCCATTGTAGTGACATCCCTGCGCACTTTCAGCAGGGAGAGCTTGAAAGAGCTTGGAGCAGCTGGAGGAGCTGTAGGTAAGGAGACAAAGAGCTCCTCAAGAACCTCAAGGCATGGACAGGGCAGACTGTAGTTCCAACACGATATTAACTGCAGCAGGGGCCAGGTGTCCCTGGGAAGGAGCAGTGAGCAGGAGTTGGGTACGAACTTTCTCATTTCTCTTTTGTTTCTCTGGTTACTTTATATTTTCCCTAATAAAAATGTTAACAAGTCCAGAACTATGGGGCTGCTGTTCCAAATCTGTATTGCTTTTGTTTAAACAAATGGCTTTCTTGACTGAAAAAAAGGAAGTAAAGGGGTTTTGGTGAGGTAGTCTCATTTGGACAATACTTTCTGAACTGTTCCAAATCAGTAGCCAAAGGGGCTTGGGCTGTCCTTGAGCCATGGGAGGTTGCAGCTGTAGAAAGGGAAGAACTTTTGTTGAGATGGTGTTGATGAGCAGTCCCTCTTCCCATGGGGTACCTGAGCTGTCTGTTCAAAGTACAACTTCAAAACTGGGGGACACCGCTGGAGGGCTGCTGTTTCACTGCCTCCTCCTCCTGAGCACGTTCTGAAAGAGAAGCTCTTTGCACAGATCAGGGTGTCAAGAAAAGTGCCTTTAAGCAGAAATATGTCCCTTAAGCTTTTATTTGTGTGTGTTTTAAGATCTGTTCAACACAGACAGTATGAAGGACACAAATCTGGGAGCTTATTTTAGGTAAACTGATGCATCCAGAAGATATTTGATGGTGCTGTGGTTGTAGGTGACACAAGTATCTCTTTGTCTGAGCCCAAGATAGGTTTTGTTTGGAGAAACCATCAGGGTTGCAATCCTTTGTGAATTTTCAGTTACCTTAAGAGTAACTGAAGTGGATGGTAGCTCTGGCCATGGTCTGAGCTTGGTGGTCCAGGAGAGATACCTTCCATGGGCCAACAGAAATTAATTACAATACCTCAAATCGAGGGCACTTGTAACAAAAGAGACTTGTAGCATATGGGGAGGTGAAATGCTTTTACTCCCTTCAGGTGCAAAGGTATCATTTGTGGTTTGTGTGGGTTAAATGCCGAGGGGTTTTGTTAAACAGAGGGCACTCATCTTTCTTGGGAGGGGAAAGGCCAGCCAGGTGGTCAGGCTCTGTCTTCTGGCTCTGGATCAGAATTACTTTTTCCCCAGCAACTCTTCAGGACAGTCACAGTTCACTAGTTAGAAGGGTGCTTGGAAAAGAGGGTGGCCAAAAATCATCCTGTAAGGTTATCCTTGCTACTGCTAAGGAGGGGCTGTGTGCAGCTCTGGCTGGCAGGGGCAGATGGAACTGGCTGTAAGCACAGAATTGAGCTCAAGTTGTGCACCCTGCCTCTTCATACAGCAGTGAGCAGCTTGAATCCACCTCACCATTACGTCAGCCTTCCTCTTCACCCCTTGGCTGCGTGGGAAGTATTGGACATGGCCTAGAGTGGTTTATTTTGCAGAGTTAAAATCTGCAGTGAGCAAAGCTGTGGTGGTGAAGCGGTGTTTCTTTCCCCAGCTGTAGGAAAACTCTGGTAGGACTCTTGTTAAACTTTTTACTGCTTGCATTTTTTCCATGAGAGTGATTGATATGAGCTGGTTGTGTGGAGGAATAGGCAACAAGAGCAGCCAGAAATAGCAAAAGATCAAGTGGGGGGAGGTGGGAAGCCAAAACAAGACTTTTGAAGCTCTACCACTTGTATATGAGATACTTGACTTGAAAGCCATACGGGTAAATGCAATTCAGAAAGCAAGGTCAAGCAGCATTTAAATCACCTGCTGGAGAGCAGCCTCCTCTCTGTGCTCCTGTAAATGATCTACTATTAACAGAGGAAACATAAGTCCATGAATATGCATACAAATGCGATGGCTTTGAGAAGAGCTGGCATGAGTTCCTGCTCACATGTGCAGCAGAGGACACTTTGACCACCAGCAGGCTCATGGGACACCCTCATCTGGCATCCTTCTCCTGGTCCTCACCATCAATGCTGCCAGTAGAGGCAAAGGTTCTCCAAGAAAATAACAAACAAACCTACTTAAACAGGCATTTGATACTATTCACACCAATAAATCAAATAGGAGGGCATAAAATGAAATAGTGGACAAGCTGAATGGTGGTTCTTGAGCTGGTTTTCTGGGAGGTCCTTCAAGCTGCTGCACGCATCTCTGCTGTAAATGTGGCAGTAACTTTTAAAATAACCCAAGAAACTCAGAGATGAGAAGAAAAGAGAACACAAGAAAAGGTGCCTCAGGGCGCAGCCTGATGAGCTAAGAGCATTTCCACTGTCAAGAAGTAGCTTTCCCCATAAAAAACAAATTAGACCAAGTTGTGCAGAAAAGGCTGGGACCATATTGCTTCAAATCAAGAGTTTCCTCCTAGAGCCGGTCTTCTGCTCAGCAACAAGTGGCAGCAGAGGCACTGTCAGGAGTTATTTTCCCTGGCCAAGAGGATGGGCCACAAGAGCGTAATCGAATTTTCTTTCCCTGGCCAAACTAAGGCCTGCAGCACTGAGGAGATATTTTGCTCAGGTTTTGCTGGATTTCTTCAATTCCAGCCACTCCAATGCCATCACCTCCCTGACAGACTGATTTTTGCAGAAGTTGTAGCAAAGCAGAATAACCAAACCCACCTTAAATCAGCATGGCCAAAGGTAATCACTCCCCAAACCTTGCTGTCAGCACACAAGTCTTCATGGGCTAACTGGCACACATTGGCTCATAAGATGCTTTTGTTTGTTAGAAAACATTTATATGTGAGCAGCTGCGTCAGGAAGGTCACTACCAAAATATCCTTCTGAGCTTTAGCCTTTGTGGGTTGGTGGTTTGTTTGTTTTGTTGTTGGTTGGTTGGGTTTTTTTAAACCCTCATCCTGTTCTAAATAGGGGAGTGATTCATTCCTGTCCTTCTGTTTAGTTTTGCTTCAGCCTACCATTTGCTGTTTCAGATGGAAAGAAAACTCCTGTTTTGGTCATAAAACATGACTGTATAATGGCCCTCTGAAGTTGGAACTGGACCTGCTTGTGTCTTATTTAGCATAAATAGATTCTGTATAAGGCTTGCATATAACACGTGAAAGAACAAAGCCAGTGAAGTCTCCACAACATGAACCACCTTGAAATTGCCTATAGCTGAATTGACTTGCCTTGTAGGTCCCTGACTTTGCTGGAGGAGGCAGCAGTTATCTTACAGCAGGCGCAGATGGATGGGGATGGCAGTAAGGAAAAATGGTGTGGTACAGTGGTGGTTACTGAACACAGTTTGGGGCTGCACGGCTCTGCTTTCAAGGAAAAGGTTTTTTCCCTGCTAGAATTAAATACAAATACTTCTTGATCTAGGAATAGTGAGAATCATCTTCCTATATCAGAGTTACTTAGGGAATGACCAATGCAAAGATCAGTGTGGTGGAAAGGGGGGGGGGGGCTTCTATAGGTTAACACACAGGATCACCTACCCAGACAAACCTGGTTGCTCTAAGAAAGGAGTTTTTCTAACCATGAGACCTAATTTAGTGTGTTTGCAGGTTTTGAACAACTTTGGGGAAACAAAAACACCGGAGTTTTTATGCAACAAATGTTCCTACAACATTTGTACTTGCTAATTGCACTGATGGCTTTCCCAGGGAAAAGGCTGTTCTTGCAAGTGGGAAGGAAGCTGTTACGAGTCGCGCCAGGCACACAAAGCTGCCGTTTACATTTTCCACACAGTTACTCTTCTAAGCCCACGGCTGTTCCGCCCTGATGCAGTTTTGCCACTGAGAGCCACAGGGCAAACGAGAAGCGCTGGGCCGGGAGCAGCTCTGAGCCTCTC